AAATTTTAGTGATGTAATGTATCATTCTTTGAACTGAGTTGCTGATGGCGGATGAAAGCGGAAGTGCTGCATGTTGAATCAGAAATGCTCTGTTGCGCTTCTAAGCTTATGTTCGATTTTATAGATGGCTTAGTTTTCCTGCAGATTTCATCTTAAAGCTGTCAATAGTGTTTTACCTTTGTTTCCTGGGAGCAGATCCAGCTACTAACATGAGCATGGGACTGGGCCTTTGTACCACAGTCGCTGCGCTGCTTGTCAAAACCTAGGTAATGTGCTTTGTTAGGCCATGCTGTGCATTTTTTAAACCTTTAGAGTACTTTGTGATCATTGACACACATATTGCACCTGACAAACAGCAGCAAAATCACACCCCATCCTTACCTCTGTGCAGTGTCACCCAACAGACAACAGGGCTTCAAAACAGGCAGGTTCCGCATTCAAGTCGCTTCTTGCAACTATGTGACTAATGTTAGGACAATAAACGTGCTGTACAGGGAAGGTGTCTTCTGTGTAGCTCTTGAAAAATGAAGTCATGCCTAAAATTCAGCTTAGAATATTACAATTACAAATAACTTGGATAAAAGTTGCAAAACATGAACTCTGACTGGTCTGGTCAGTTGAAATGTCTTGAGTCAGTGAACCACGCCTGGGCTGGAGGTGGTCAGTTCCCTGACTTGCGCGACCTCGGGCAGGAGCTGTGGGACTTGTACATGGACAAATTGAATAGATGCTAGCCTAGATTATGTCATGGCTGCAGTCCAAGACATGTTCACTAGTTGCCGTTGCTGCCGCCGCCTGCTGCTGCCCTGCGTGCCGGCTGGCAGCTCACTGCTGGACTGTTTGCGCGCCAGGCATCCTACTGGACGAGTGGGGTAGGTCGCAGATCTTTGAGAGTGAAACGTTTGGTCTAAATGTAGCTGAAACTCTTACAAATAATATAATAAAAAGGCAAAATTTCAGAGGACTCCATTGGTGTCTCAGTGGTGACAATCAGAACTTGATCAGAACTGTTATCATGCTGAATGCTGAAACTGAGAATAGGGCTGAGCTGGTGGGCTAGAATTTAATATGCATGCTTACAAGGTCCCCAGTTAATCCACAAATTTGTCAGACTTGCCTGTAGGCCAATTTATGCAGATGAAATGTTTCTGGCAGATAGCCCTGAGGCAAAATGCTAGGTATTCAAGCTTGTTCCGCAGCTCGTTGCGTTCCACATGAGCCACTAAATCAGAGTCACACAACGCTGCCAAATGTGCTGAAAGGCCACGATTTTTCCAATACGTAGGTATATTTATTATTTTTCACAGACACAACAAAAATACAAATGCAGGTCACTACAATTCATTCTGATTCAATTACAATTGCTGGAATGTGTTTTGCAGACTTATTATATTGAATCTTGAACAGACTATATTTAATTACTTTGCTCATGGGCCCATGTAGGGCACACTAGGGCACTAGGGCATAGGAGCCATACTCTGCAGTATACTGTAAAAAATATTCACTAGCTAATTTTGAAATTAGGCATTTTTTACGAGTGCCTCCCTTGCTCCTCGTTACAACATATATGGACATTAGTAGTCAGAGCCATGCACGTTAACAATGCCGCTTGTGGAACAAATGCCTACGAGCGAGAACATGTTCAGGAACCTAATTTTGCGCAGTGTTAATGAACTACGCACAGCCTCACAGTGTTACCCGCCGTTGGCTTGTTCTCGGCCAGTTTTTAGCGTGTCCCTCAATTAGGTCATTTCGCTATTAGCTCAGCTGACGAGGCCCCGGCTGGCACCTACTAAACGGATAACCTTGCGTGCAACCCCGCTTGTTGTCACGAACGCCTGCAGCTGGTAAACGTGCTGGCAAGCTTGCGTGGTAAGCGGCTTCGGATGGCTATGAGGATGTGCCTCATAGCTATCCTCGTCGCATGTTACAACCTAGGAGTCTGTGGCTGCTTTCAGAAGGAGTCCCCCCCCCCCGCTTCCGGGAGCCGGCGTCCATTTTGTGTTGCGTCGCCATTGCTGTGTGTGTCTGCCCAACTGCTCTTTGGCTTGATTGAAGGTGAGGCATCTTGTATCATTTGCTGTGTGCTCAACAAAAAGGTTGTCCATTTGTAAACAAAAGTTATTATGGTGTTGAGCTTCTTAGAAGATGTATAGTATCGCATAATGTTGCCCGTCGTTGGCAGAAGTGCGCCGGTATCGTCTATCCAAGTCAGAATAGCTATATGTTTGGGACTTAAGCTAGCTTGTGGCAGGAATCTATCACTTTATTCAACTTTAATTTAATCATTTTCCAGATTGGTATGCCTTATGATAATAATAATGCTAATATTCGTTTTTTCACCCATTACAGACTTCTCTGGTGAAGAATGGGGCCATGTATGTCCTGGCCTACCTGCACCCCGCGACTGCCGCCGGTGCAGAGCTAATGAAAAAATCACAAATGTTTGATGGTGGTTATTTAAGAAACCTTATTGAAAATTATTCAGTTAGTTGTTGTTGTTGTTGTTGTTGTTAAAGTTATAGTTATTGTCCTGGCGTTGTTATTGTTCTCGTTCTCGTTCTCGTGCCCGAATAAATGTGCTGCAGCGCTACTCAGTCTGTTTATACTTGCGGGTGGCGGTCGAGAGTCGGGGGCACTGGTCGACGGAATTCCGTCGACGGAATTCCGTCGACCGTGCCTCGACCCCGAAGACCAGTAGTGGTACTAGTTAAATAGTGCCACTACTGGTCTTCGGGGTCGAGGCACGGTCGACGGAATTCCGTCGACGGAATGCTAGTACCATTACTAGCCTTGGGGGCTAGTACCATTACTGGGTATGGATTAGTAGGCAGTGGCTAGTTACCTTACCAGGCAGGGGCTGTTATGACACCTAGTAGACGCACTACCCACGCTATTTACGTGCGTGTTGTCAAACTAGGTGGAGCACGGTGGTCGTATGCATACGAGGCACAGCCTTGTCGAACAAGCTTGTTACTCGGCAACTAGCCTAAAATTAGCCAAATTTACACGCTCCTGCAATGTTATTTTTGCGCTGAGAATTCCTCTACGAGGGGCTTGTAAGTTTTTTTTACAGCTGGCCTGCAGGCCAGTACTGCAGAGTATGGCTCGCAGGTCGGCAAGGAGCACAGGCCCAACTCCCAAGTTCAAAATTGACACAAACCCTTCAAGCAGAGCCCAAAAATTCACACCAAAGGGGGCTGAGAGAACACAAAAAAATGCACCAAACCCCAAAATGGCCAGTCAAAATCTGCACTGACCTCAAATCCCCACAATGCTACACATCTGCACCACAGCGAGCCAAATTCGCACCCCGCTACACTAAATCTGCACCACACTAAACCCCAAATCCGCACCGCACCACACTCAAATCCGCACCAGACGAAGGAGTCCACACTAACAAAATCTAGACAAAATTGCCATACTTTGCAGTCTGGCTCATGGCTATATCCATTGTGATTCTTTGGTCTGATTATTGAAGTTGAGCTCACTTCCATCATCCATGTGCCCAAGACATTGTGGGCAGCATCAATAATCAAACATCAAACATCTTGCTTTTGCTTATTTAGGAGCATTCTATAATCTTTTAAAAATGATAAATAAGGCCTTGTTGATATTCTTTATAGTTTGCGACCTTCTTCTTGACAAAGTTCAACCTTCAATTTTCCAATTTTCATTTCAATCCTTTCCATGAACATTGAACATGTTACTAAAATACCAAGTTCCTGATATTTGATTTCATGCGCAATGTTTGTACTATTCGCGGCAGAAGCGTAACAAAACTTTGTGCCACCGATTTGGCAGCTAGGAAAAAAAACTTTGTACGATAAAAAAACAACCATATGACGTAATCGATCCAAAAGCTTTAAATTGGAATTTTTAAACAATTAGCCAACTATGGGCCGAATGTTTGCCAATTTCGTGTAAAGGGGCCCCTAATCTATGTCTTGCAACACAAGAACATTATATCAAAGCAATTTTTTGAAGGTGGGACAGTCCCTTTAATGGTTAGCTTGCTATTTATTACTAATATCCGTTAATTCCTAGTTCCTTCACTGGGCCAAAAGGTCCTGTATCTTGAGACAGGCTGGCCCGTATGCCGCTGTGCGCCACCATGCCGTTGCTGTACCAGCCTCACTGTAGCCTGCCCAGTGCCGCCCAGTGGGCACTGCTCGGTACCGGTGGGCGTCGATAGGGACCAGGCGGCGGCGGCGGTGTCCGAGCTGGATCAACACGCACGGCCGCCGCCGGGACGTGATCGTCCTCTAACGGCGGTCCAGCTCCCAACGGCGTGGCCTGCCCCCCCCCCCCCCCCCCCCGACCCGCAGCTACATAAAACTGGCGGCGGTGACCTCCAGCAGCGCGGCGTCCTTTGTCCCCGCCGCCCAGGATGTCCCGAGCTGTTTTAATTGCGATGCTGCTAAATCCCCTACGTCTCACTGAAAAGCTGGCTTTCTCAGACATACAGAATTGTTCTTCATTAGCATGGAGAAATGCTTTCCCAGAGCAAAGGCGCTGTTGTATATTCTCTGCCAAGATTTGTGTCTCACTTTTTAGCTGGAGGCGTCAGTACAAAAACACTGGAAAGTGAGCCGAGGGCATTCTTTAAATTTACTTATTTACCTTCCTTATGCGTCTTGGTACCACATGACACTTCAAATACTAGCAGGAAACGGATATTGTGGTCACAGATGCGGTCACGCTTTTCGAGATCGAGGCGTTTTTTTATATTATCAGGCGAATTACTCACAAACGTAATCAGGCCCTTAGTAACAGCGTTCGTGCAGCCTTCTACGACTGTGCTCGTGCCGTCAGCCCGTTACTAACTGAGGACCGTCCCGTTACCGAGGCTCGTACTGCTACCAGCGCAGGATTATGACATTCCTATCTGACGACTGTCCCGTTACTAACTGAAGCTCGCGCCGTTACCGATTTAGACTCTTGTCTCCTACAATAGACCGCGCTGGCACGTCACCGCGGCTGTTATTTTTCCGTTGCAGGGACGATGCTGGGCGTGTTCCTGCCCTGCATCCAGAACATCTTCGGTGTCATCCTGTTCATCCGCCTGACCTGGATCGTCGGCACGGCCGGCGCCCTCGAGGCCTTCATGGTGGTCCTCATGTGCTGCTGTGTGGTGAGTTCACCGGTGCTGCTTAGTGAGCTTCCGCAGTTAGAATTAACTGTGTCGAGTTTTCAGTATGTTGTGTGGTATGTCTGTGGCTGATGCTCTCCGCTGTCGCTGGTACACCGCTACGCGAGGCTATGTTTCTGTGTCCTCCATTTGTTGTCTTTTGTCAGGTAGCTTTACGTGTTTGTTACTGCGTCTTTTCTTGAAAGATGTGGACAAATTCATTTAATTTGAAAGATGCCAAATTTAATAGAAATGTCCTCCATTTTCCTTTCTTGATATTCTTTTCAAAATCACATCATTAAGAACACATTTCACCTTGGTCGACGATAATGATCTGGAAATATAAAATTTACAGACCCTTATTATTGCATGTGTGCTAGGTGGAGTTTCAACGCATTTTTTATTTACTGGGGCGTCCGTTTATGAGTGATTTTGTTTGGCGTTGGCGTTAATAGCCGCTCATCGTCAGCGGAATGCCGTTAGCGCGTCGGCAACAGGGCCGCCCACTCGGCTAAGTACATCAGTGGCGCGTGCTGTTACCTGTTCGGCGCTGGACCGGCCGTCCGGACTGCTGATGGAGGCTGTTTGTGTCGCGGCGCGCAGGAGCGGACCGGGGAGAGAGTCCGCCGTCCGGTGGCGATGACGGCAGCTTGCGCTCAGTAGCTGCCACCACCAACATTAGTAGCCGCCGCCACGGTCATTAGGGCCGCTGGTAATCGGCGCGGTGGTTAGCGCTTCCACAAGTCGGTGTCTGAACGGCTCAGATGAACTGCTACTGACTCTGACATTCCCCGCGCCTGTGTGTGGTGTCTTCTTCCCACACCATATGGCGAGTCTGTTACCTCAAAGGGACATAAATAATAAATATGTTGATAACGTCAACACCCTGTGAATCGGTATGCCGGGTCTCTTTCCCACTGACGTGGCGGGTCAGACCCCAGTGACGTGACGTCGACCCCCGTCCGTCTTTGACTGACGCCCCGGTCCCCCTCCCCCCCCCCGGTCCCGTGCCGCCGGTCTGATGGTGATGAAGCGCCGCCGCGGCGGTAGCTGACTCGTCTCCCGGTCATTTATCGTCATCTAGCCAGCGGGCTGTTTTTCAGTGTCGCCGCCGGCCGGCTGCAGCCGAAATGTTCCGCCGACCGGCGAGGTGAACTCGTTAGTCGGCTAATGGAGGCGTTCCACAGCATTTAACTCCGCCCGGCGGCCAGATTTGTGCAGCGGCCGTTTCTCTTTATGCTGCTCCAGTTTAGGTGTGCCGGTCCCATTTTTTACCAGCTCAATGGACCCCGCTTTGTGATAAGTTTTTGGAGCCGGTCTTGGGTCTTTTACGGAAAGGAGCGAGAAAAAAAAGCAATGAAACAGTCGTTGAAAAGTGTTAGGACGTTTGATGCCACTTAGCGATTGCTTATTTATGAAGCTGTCCGCTGTTTATTATCAAAAGACTATCGTGGAATGTCTGTGCTGTTAAATGTATAAAACTGCGTAAATACGGTTATGTACTTTTCATTAAAAAAAGAATGGTATGGTATGGATACTGGCTGCTGGTGTAGAATGGGTTTCTCATTGCCAAGGCTACGTGACCTAGGTGGCATTTGTTAGCTGTGATTGTGTATCGCAATAAAGCCGACCCAAATCCCTACAGTAAACTCGCAGCACAATTCCAATCGTACAGAATCTGCTCTGAGCTTGGCGAGCTGAAGTTTGGACAGCGTGAATCTAACCTTAGCCAATGCTGGTCCGCCGCCGTCTCAGCGGTCCTGTTATCTGCACCCATTCCAATCGGGAAATGAAAGGTCACGGACCTGGATGTGCCGCACAGACTGTGCTGGACATTTGAATCATGCTGCACCGTGGCCGAGCCTTGCAGCGCTGGCTGGCCGCTGCATTGTTGCAGCAACTGTTCTGTCCTGGTGTGATGTATGACGATAGGTCGAGAGTGGACAGCTCAGCCCCCGTGAGCAGTGCCCGGCGCACCAAAACAGCGGGAGTCAGGGCACACGGGCTCAGTGAGGAAGGCGCGGGCTGAGCCCAGCACGCGGAGGGCACGCGGCTCACCGAGGGATATCTTGGATATCCTGATGTTATGGATATCACGAAGTGCTGCAGGATATCCTACATAAGATCGGTATGCGTGAAAATCAAGCGGATATTCCTAGCCTACTATCCGGTCATAATAACGTTGTTCAACCTACGGTTATTACGCGCCAGATTTATATGGGTGATAGGTACTGCACCGAAAGCACTTATAATGTTTTAATGGACCATGTATACAGATCGATTCATATCCATTAGTGGGACCTCAGATAGGGAAACGCTCCGTCAAGCATCATTTAGCTATTCATGACATCATTTGATTCTTTGATTGTTTGTCCTCCCGTCGAGGACAGAATGTATGTATGTGATGTTCGGTCGTTGATGTGGTGGCCGGAGTGGTCTGGTGTCCTTTGTCTGTCCTCATGTGTGGAGTGGTGTCTCAGCCCGTCCGCACCCGGCGCTCTGTGTTTGTGTCTCCCTGTGGAGTGTTGTCGCTGATCTGAACTGCACGCGCCGGACACGCTATGTCTGGACGCAGCTCGGTCCCGGATGCACTGTCTTTGGACGGACCATGGTGCCGTACGCTCTGTCTTTGGACGGACCTCGGCGTCGGACGCGCCGTGTTTGGACGGCCTCGGTGCCGCCGCGGTGGCCACCGGGAGCCGGTGTTTGCCCGAGCCAAAGTAATCATGGCCACCGGCCGCCGTACGGCCACGAAGCCGGCCATGGCCGCCGGCCCCGCTGTCTCAAAGGCCGCGCTGTCTCAAGTGTGTATGGTCTGAATGAACTATTGTCTACAGAGCCGTGCTGTCTCAGTGTCGTTTTTGGACTCGTTGGTTATTTTGCCTCATTGGCCGAATGGACATATGGTTTCTGGCTAAACTGTCTCACTGATCGTGGTATTCCAATGGGTTGTCGTCTAAATAGTAAGGTACCTTTCGCAGTAGATGGTCGGTTTCGCATAGCGTCGGTGGTTGTTTTGTGTCAGTTAAGTATCAGTGATCATGTAGTCTGATGTGTTGTGCTGTGTCATTGATTGTGTCTTTCTGACCGCCACTGGTGGAGCCACGGCCTTTCGGTATGGGTATAAGGGTTGCTGTTATCCATCCGGACACTGCACACTGCGCAGTCCACTAGTCCAGGTGCAGATTGACGTGCAAACACAAACAGTGTATGCCAACGTAAATCAGCTGTATCGGAGCCACCGACCGGACCCCGCTCCGACTGTTCTGTGTTTCCCTAACCTGTCGACATTTGTAGGGTCGACCGGTGTGCAGTGCTCGGTTACTGGCCAGCCGGCCTGTTCCTCTGCCCTGTTGACCCCGCTGTTGTTCCGCCGGTTCCGACACAGACCACCCACCCCGTCGCTGTCTGTTTCAGACGATGCTCACGTCGATCTCAATGTCTGCGATCGCCACGAACGGCGTGGTGCCTGGTGGCGGGTCGTACTTTATGATCTCGCGCGCGCTGGGACCCGAGTTCGGCGGCGCCGTCGGCATCCTCTTCTACCTGGGCACGACGTTCGCCTCGGCCATGTACATCATCGGCGCCATCGAGATCCTACTGGTGAGTAGGCCGGACAAGGGGCAGACGGGCGGTCCTGCTGTAGGGGATAAGTCATAGCATGTCGGTCTGCTGTGTGTGGTCCCGGTCTACTGGGAGCTATATGTAACATCTGATCCACTGAGGGCTGTCTGCGGTCCTGGGCCGTCATAGCTCTGTGTAGACCCCGGCCTGCTGTCTGTAGTTCCCGGTCTGATGTCTGTTTCTCCTGGTCTGATGTCTGTTTCTCCTGGTCTGCTGGGAGCTGTCTATGCTTTCCAGTCTGATATCTCTGGTCCCCGGTCTACTGTTAGCTGTCTATGGTCGGTCCCCGGTATGATCCCAGTAGCCGCCGTCCGTCCCGCTACTTCTTGCGCTGTACATACAGGTGGCCGCATGTGGTGGCCCTGCCCGGTGATTTGTCTGCGTCTGCGGCCGGCGGTGAAACCTAGGCGCCGAAATCGATGGGCTGCTGCGTGTGTGAGCCTTCCCAGAACACCCTGGGCTCGGAGCGTCTCCGTCTGACGGCTGTGCCGCCGAGCGCCGCGCCGCTAATGCGTGGGATGTGTACGGGCTACCGTGAGCAGCACACGGCGGTGCCCCAGCCGCCCGGCCTGGTGTCACCCTGTCACCTCAGTAACTTGTCGGGCCCGACTGAACTACATTGGACATCCCGCTCCGTTTCCTGTGTGAAAACAGTTGTGTGGCGCTCTGCCGCGGCGGCCGGCTGTCGGCTGTGTTTTGGCGGTGGCCGGGGAGCCGCGACCGGCTGTCGGCTGTGTTTTGGCGGTGGCCGGGGAGCCGCGACCGGCTGTCGGCTGTGTTTTGGCGGTGGCCGGGGAGCCGCGACCGGCTGTCGGCTGTGTTTTGGCGGTGGCCGGGGAGCCGCGACCGGCTGTCGGCTGTGTTTTGGCGGTGGCCGGGGAGCCGCGACCGGCTGTCGGCTGTGTTTGGCGATGGCCGGGAGAGCGGTGGCCGGCTGTCGGCTGTGTTTTGGCGATGGCCGGGAGAGCGGCGGCCGGCTGCTGACTGTGTTTTGGCGATGGCCGGGAGAGCCGCGGCCGCGTCAGCTCGGCTCTGTCACACCGGGCCGACGCCGTGCCGAGTGTTTTTAATGCGCTCTATTTGTAGCAGGATAGCAAAGATAGGTTATGTAATGCAACGCAACATTGGCGGATCAAACAGTGCTGCTGTATTTCCTTTTTGTATATTTTCACTTTATCACTTCATTACACAGCGTTGCTTTCCAATAGTACTGGGCATCTAGGCTCCCTCATCCCGTCCCTTGGGACATATAGTCCGGTCAGATGGTCCCCTCCAGACTCCCTCCGCCCCTCTCAGTATAACAGCGCCCTGCCAGCCGGTCCCTTCCAGGTCCCTTCCGCCCCTCTCCGTATAATTAGCGTCTGTCTGCCGCCCCGGCCCGAGTGGTCCGCCGACCAGACTGAGGCTGCACGGTCTGTCTGTTGTAGCGTTACACCACAAACCGCCGTCCCCGGGAGCTAATTCGGGGAGTAACTCTGCCCACTGGCAGGTGGTTCGCTTAGTTAGCAACTTTTAATTATATTATTTTTGGACGGGTGGCGCGGACAGGTCTACAGCAGCCAATTAAAAACTAACGGCCCTGACGAGGGATGGTAGCCATCGAAAACCCGTGGAACTGGGACAGGTTAATGAGGCATAAAAGAGCAAGAGATAACTCACGTGCTTCATAATTCCGACAACTTCTCTTATCTTGAGTTTTTAATTTCAGGAGCGTCTTTCTGCGGATGATATCTTTTTTCAGACAAAAACGAGTTCCAGACAGTGCTACTTCGCATTATTTTCTAATGTCGTAATGTGTTCCACGAAACGTTGTTCGTGCTCTCTAATATTTTTAGGCCTGTTTGATATTTACACTTGGCCATGGTTATATATTTACATTTGGTTCTGCTGAGACGGAGTATGGGCTGTTAGGCTGAGCGCATCTGGCAGATGTAGCGTCATTCAAAGTCATTCGCCCAGTCGTCGGAGCAATGTCGCTCCAACGAGTGCTGCCAATGGGCTATTTCGTCTAATTCAGCGCCGCTCGCGCGAGAACTGCCTAAGTTATCAGACATATTGCTCTCAAACCCTCGACAATCGAAATGGCAGTGCGCTTTGCACGGCTCCCACGGCTGGTCCTCACGGTCCAATATCCCACTCCGTCCCCTGGTCTATCCCCATGGTCCGACCTCCGCGGCCCGTCCCGCGCCCCGCCCCCACGGTTCGTTCCGTGTCCCTCTGACGTTCCCTCTCCGTTTCAGCTGTACATAGAGCCGCGGATCGCCATCAGCGACATCTCAAACGAGTCGAGCAAGTTCGACAACTTCCGGCTCTACGGTACCGTCCTCCTCTTCTGCATGGCCACCATCGTGTTTTTCGGCGTCAAGTTCGTCAACATCTTCGCCACGCTGGCGCTGGTCTGCGTGCTGGGCAGCATCGCCTCCGTCTACGTGGGCATCTTCGTCAACGCCGGCGGCTCGGACGCGCTCATGTGAGTGACGGTGCTGGGGGTCCGGGCTGCCGTTAACTGCTGTGGCAGGGAAGGAAGGGGAAGGGTGACATAAGCGGCCAATGAAAGTGCATTGACTGATTATTAAATGTAATTAATTTACATCGAAGCATTTTTCGCAGTGCTCGCTTTTTGTGGTGGGCTGTAAAGCAGCATAACTTGATTCTTTATTAAATTTTATGATGTGTCAGACGATGGATGCTGATGGTCTCTAAGCAGATACTTAACATATTGGAAGCAGTCATTTATTATAGCCACGGTACTTGGCGCGATCTGGTCAGTCAGCTTTACGGCAGGTAATAGTAATATTGTTAACGGTTGTGAACGAAAGGGGTCTAACTTGGCTGCGAACAGGAAAGGATCCAGCTCAGCGGTGGACGGGTGGGGCTCAACTTTGCTATTTATAGTGAACAGTAGGGATGCAATGCATGATCGGGCCGGGTCCGTCCCAGATCCCTCTTGATTGTCTAACTTAGTAAATCATTTCCAACAGCCATCGGTTTACTATGTTGCTGCCAGTATATGCTCACTCAAATTAATTGCATTTCGATTTTAGATGACATGCCTTCGCCATTTATAGGCTTGGCGATCCATATCTCGTTTAGCTGTGCTCAGTGTCGATGCTGGGCCGATTTGAAGTTGCCGCAGCGCCAGCGTTTGCCCATGATCCAGTTGTCGTTAGTCGGGTCGTATTCGGCCTAACGCGCTGAATAATCTGGGCCGGTCGACGGTGTGCTCTCCATTGTTGATGGGTCCGGCGGCTCACTGTCGCTGCGGTCGATGGACAGGAGCCGGGGACCTAGAGGGGTACCCGCCCCTCTCCGGTGACATACAGCGGTACTCAATACCCATCCCGGCCGGGGATGGTGGGCGGTATGTACCCCCATCCCGGCCGGGGATGGTGGGCGGTACCCATTACGGCGGGGGCTGGCCGGAGTAGCTCTCAGTACCAGAGGACCGTCGCGTGGCCGTCGACAGCCACTGTCGGTAGGAGTGGGCCGTCACGTGGCCACACACCCCGGCCACTGTCGGTAGGAGTGGGCCGTCACGTGATCACACACCCCGGTCACTGTCGGTAGGAGTGGGCCTGTCACGTGATCACACACCCCGGCCACTGTCGGTAGGAGTGGGCCGTCACGTGATCACACATCCCGGCCACTGTCGGTATAGGAGTGGGCCCGTCTCGCTGCGTACGGTGTCGGCACTTCCTAGGACCGATCGAGCTCTAACAACCTGGCCGGTCCGGTTCCCCGTCACCTCCCTGATGTGCTCTCTAGCTCACTGTTCCCGGCCGTGGTACTTTGTGTTGACTGTTGAAGCCGACTGCCGCCGCCGGGGGCCGTCTCTGACCTCCACTGTAACCGGTCTGCCCACAGGACGTGTCGACTAGGCGAGCGGTTACTCCGGGAGAACGAGAACAACAAGTCGGCGGCGGCGTGCTCGCCCGAGTTTCTGTGGGACGAGTACTGCCAGACGCCGTACGACCAGAAGAACCTCACCACTTGCTACTACTACTTCGCGGCCCACTACAACGACACGCACTACGAGCGCGGCGTGGCCGGCATCGCCAGCGGCGTCTTCCAGCGTGAGTGGAGCGGGGGGGAGATGAGGAGGGGGGGGGGCAGCATCGCCAGCGGGGTCTTCCAGCGTGAGTGGAGCGGGGGGAGATGAGGGATAGGGGGCAGAGGGGGTATCGCCAGCGGCGTCTTCCAGCGTGAGTGGAGCGGGGGGAGATGAGGGATAGGGGGGAGGGGGCATCGCCAGCGGCGTCTTCCAGCGTGAGTGGAGCGGGGGGAGATGAGGGATAGGGGGGAGGGGGCATCGCCAGCGGCGTCTTCCAGCGTGAGTGGAGCGGGGGGAGATGAGGGATAGGGGGGAGGGGGCATCGCCAGCGGCGTCTTCCAGCGTGAGTGGAGCGGGGGGAGATGGGGGATAGGGGGGGGGGCGGCATCGCCAGCGGCGTCTTCCAGCGTGAGTGGAGCGGGGGAGATGGGGGATAGGGGGGGCGGCATCGCCAGCGGCGTCTTCCAGCGTGAGTGGAGCGGGGGGAGATGAGGGATGGGGGGGGGCGGCATCGCCAGCGGCGTCTTCCAGCGTGAGTGGAGCGGGGGGGAGATGAGGAGGGGGGGGGCGGCATCGCCAGCGGCGTCTTCCAGCGTGAGTGGAGCGGGGGAGATGAGGGATAGGGGGGGGGGCATCGCCAGCGGCGTCTTCCAGCGTGAGTGGAGCGGGGGGAGATGAGGGAGGGGGGCATCGCCAGCGGCGTCTTCCAGCGTGAGTGGAGCGGGGGAGATGAGGGATAGGGGGGGGGGGCGGCATCGCCAGCATCGTCTTCCAGCGTGAGTGGAGCGGGGGGGAGATGAGGGACGGGGGGGAAGGTATTGCCAGCGGCGTCTTCCAGCGTGGGTGGAGCGGGGGGAGATGAGGGGATAGGGGGCAGAGGGGGTATCGCCAGCGGCGTTTTCCAGCTTGAGTGGAGCGGGGGGAGATGAGGGATAGGGGGGGGGCATCGCCAGCGGCGTCTTCCAGCGTGAGTGACCCGCTGTGGAGAGGATGGGGGCAGGGGCGGAGACAGAGGCGCGGCGTGGTGACTGGACTTAATGCGACGTCAGTGCGTGAAAGCTAGGGATGGATGTGACGGGAGGCGGATGACATGTAGCGTGCTATAAACACTGTACAAAAACACTGCTCGAAACACACGAAACACTGTAGGGTGCTCGAAACCCAGCCAAACACTGTACGGAGTGTGACACCGCAGTCAACGTGGCTGCCAAAAAGGCACGCGTTGGACGGCCAAAGAAACGGCGTCCACCACCGCCATCATCAGAACGTGTGGTCCCAATGGAACTGGATGTAGCAAACACAATGGAACTAGCTCCTCCCTAGAACCTAGCTAGAACTAGCTGTAGGGTGCTGGATCTGGTCTCGCTTATCCGAACGAGGACGAGGTGGCAACCGTCAGAGGCAGTGTGGCTAATTATCCGCATTTCTAGCTATATTGATATCAGATCAGATTGATATGGTTCATCTCGTATCTCATCTTGGTTCCAGTAGCCATGTCTGGGGGAGTGAACTAAGAACAGACTGGTAGCTAGGTAATGGGAACCCTAGTAGACTGGGTCATTTACTTTCTGCTGGCGGTATCTTTCGCCGAACCGCTGAATGATTCGCTCCTTTAAAACCTTCTGGGTTATGGAGATTTGTTGGAATTTCTTCGTAAATTTTGAAATGAAAATATGGATAAAATGCATAATGGAGGCAGCTGCCGCGACCCATTTCCCCCATGAGTTGCAGTGCTCGCTTTTAATAACGTTCCCGAGCCGACAGGCCTAAATCACGCACCAGTGTACGGGCGACAGAATTTCTCGTTCCACATATTTTTTGATGGAATAGCGGGCCATGGCGTGTAACTGTTTATTATTTCCGTCGGTTTTATCGTTTTTAATTTGTCATGTTATGACGTTCCTCGGAGTCTGCCGGAGTTTAGGGGCGGCGGCGCGGCCTTGATAGGGCCATGAGCGTCGTATGGTAATGGGCGCCGCCGCGGGACGGCCGCCGCTGTGCCGTCATAGTCTGCTGCTGTGATACCGAGCGGTTACCACCCGGGTACGGCGGTCAGACGGCGGCCCGTCAGACGCGGACCGTTTTGGTGGGGATTAATGGCCGTCTTCCTAGGGGCTGGTCGGTACCGGCTCGCGGAATGAAGTCGATCTATTGAGCCGCTGTAACTGACTGCAGGGCGGTGGTTCGGTGCGGTATACAAACATACTGCACCGTCCTAAACGTCACCAAATCGCCCCACACCGCTCTGTACCAGTATCTCCCCCTGAGTGTAGCCCTCTCCGTTCATAGGGAACCTGTACTCGCGCTACCCGCGCAAAGACAACTACATCACGGAGAACGGCAGCTCGGTGGCGGCCAAGAACCTGGGCAAGGGCGAGTACAACCAGATCATGGCCGACATCACCACCTCGTTCACCGTGCTGATCGGCATCTTCTTCCCCTCCGTCACAGGTGGGTCGCACTGCTGCCAGTGGTACACTATGTACAGAGGCGGCATGTTTCTATAATGAGTCCCTTCATTGATCTGAGTGTCCTCCCCACACCTGCTAGTTTACCCTCCGACTAGTTTACACTCCGACTCGAGTGTCTTCACACACACTAGGTCTGACTCAGTGGTGTGTTGCATGGTGTTTGTGAATGCGGAAGTACGCAGCCATCTACGCCTTGATGTCGGCTTACGAGCTGGGGTGCTGAAGGTGTTGTCTATAAAAGATGGCTGCATGGGAGTCTTGGACAACTTTACGTGGGTGCGAGGCGAAACGAACTGAACATGATAAGGATTCTTCAATTCATTGCCTGTTGTTATTTTGAAGTGCAGAAGGTCGTTGTGCTGCAATATCACGCTAGAAAGGTATGCATTATATACTCATACAGTATGCGGGAGCAGTGCTGTTTACCGCGCAATTAATCGAGTGGCCGTTCTTTAACTGCACGGCATTCCGGCCGATAACCGGCGTCGCTCGGTCGCCAGCTGACGGTTGCGAAACTCTCATTTGCAACAATTTGCAGTCTGTATCGACCTGCCGAAATGTGGGCCGCCACACAGTCCGGCGACTGAATACAGTGGCACGGGTCCCGCCCCGGCTGGCCCGGCCCGGCCCAGTGACACGGGCCGGAGCGATCCGGTTAGTTCCGGACTGAGCCGGTCCTCCGGGCCGAGCTGAGCTGTGCTCAACAGCCGGGCCGAGCTCTGCCGCCGCCCCCACGGAGAGTCGCCGGGGAGGCTGCGGCGGCGGACTCGACTCTGCCTCTCCCGGCCGGCGCGCCCATCCTATCGCCAGCCGTCGGACCCGCCCTCGGCTGTGAGGCGGCTGGGACGGACCAGCAGCGGACGCCAGCGCCGCTGGACCGGCGGAGTGCCGCTGTCCTGATATACCCGTCCTCAGTCAGCGCCGCCCTGGAACCGCTCAACCGAACAGCTCCTATTGGCGCAGGTGACAGCGCTGCGGAGATGAGAGGCGAGCGAGCGCGTGCCGGCGACGGGGCGTGGCCGGTGCCGCGCCGCGCTGAGGATGCCTTTCTGGCCGGGACGACAAAGGCGGCACAAAGGCGGCTTTGTGTGCGCCGCTGTCGCCGGTACAATGGCGGTGCCGGGTGCGGCCGGAGGGAGCAGCTGCTCTCGGGTCGGTTTCCAGCTGGTCCAGTCAGCTGAAGTGGTCTGCTCTAGTTTTTTTTTTTGCGTTGATCGGATAGTCCAGCAGAGTCTGAATATCTTCCTCCCGTTCCGTCGTTGCGGAGCGGCAGCCCGGCCGGCGCGGGCGGCTCCTCAGCCGACAGTACCGGCCGGTCATCGGTCAGCGCGTCCATGAATGGAAGCGGCCCGCTCACGGCCGATTTGCCGGCGTGGCCATTCAGTCTGACGCCAGTGTTGGCGGTGGCGGTCGAGCGTGGCTCTATAATTGCCCTAATTGTCGCTCTATGTAACATGTGGGGCCTCCTCGGCACACGCCTGTAGTGGGTATATTTAGCGCCGTGAGGGGACGGCGGTGGCGGCTGGGATTCGGCCGGCGTCAGTGGCTGTGTGTCGAGTACTGAGTGCGATTCCGGTGGGTGACATCAGTTGACAGGAGGGAAGGTCGTGGTTCACGTGGGGCGTTCCCAGGGTGCTGTCGAACACATCTGGGATCTACAGTCGCGGAACATAGTCACAGACCCACGGACGGCGCTCACGTCTGGTGACCTTCCTGTTCTACAAATCCACAGACGAAACGCTTGTCGGGTGGCCCAGATGTTCTACAGACTCACGTCAGAGACGCGTGTCTGGTGGTGCCTGCTTGTTCTACAGACTCATGGACGGCGCTGACGTCCGCTGGTGTAGACAGGTGGTCAGGGTCGGCGGGTGCTGGACGGTGCTCACGTGTGGTGGACGAAGCGCACGTCTGGTGGATGGGCTTCACGTCTGGTGGCCAACTGCACTGGTACGGACGGATGGCCAGGAGCTGCGAGTGTTAGCCGGTCCTCACGTCTGATGACCCCGCTGGTATAGACGGGTGGCCAGGGTCGGGCCGTCGGCGGATTCTGGACGGCGCCCGTCATGGAAAATTACCGTCGGCGTTACGTAACCAGATTCGACTCGGCCCCGGCCCAGGGAGTGGGTGAACACAGTGGCCCGGGCAGAGTGCCACCGGGTCCGGCCGGACGGTGCGGCGTGTCCATACACATTACACATTCCGCTGGGAAAGGTCAGCCGGCCGGCCGGCCAGCGTGCATTGATTGGGTGATCAACAAGTGACCGACAGGTAGCGGCCAGTCCGCGCACAGCGACCGGGGCAGAGCCGTCGCAGGCCCGGCCGGTCTGCAGTGCCATTTCCTCCGCACTGTCTGTGGGGCAGCGACCGCTCCTGCAGACTGCCATTGTGGCTGAAAGGAATGGATTTTTCTGTTCGGCTGATGAAATTCCATTTGTGGCGTAGCAAGGCTCATTTGCTATTTCCAGCAGTTGTTGACTTTGATGTATTCCCAACACGTGCATGCTAAGCCCTTTGATTAAAGCAGTGTTTCAATGTTTTATAACGAAAGGTGGTTTTATCTAGTCCGATAGATCTTGTGGGCACTTATTCCCCTATTAAATCAGTTGAGCGACGGAAATACCTACTCGTATTCATTCTGGGTATTCATTGACGAATCAGAAGCCTTATTAACAAAATCGGTTGCACTACTAATCAACAGAAGTGCCAAGCACGATGCACCCTTCATTGCTGCCGCTACTGAGGACAAGGTATTGTTCAGAGCACGTGCTGGATGTGACGTATTACCACTAAGCTCATGTCCCACTGTGCCAATGTGCCGGGCGCGGCCGGTGCCGGCGTGGCTCGGCGCGTTTGGCCGACGTTTGCCGCCGCTCGGCGAGCGCTGGGCGCCGGCCGGGGCTGTTTTATTGTCGGTTATCGCGCCGGCTGGGCCGGGGGACGCTCCTTTTGTCCGTCCCGGCGCGGCCCGGCCGTGAATCATGAACCCATGAATCAGTGAGGCGGCGGCCATGAATTGGAGCGCTGGGCCCTTGAGCCGGCCATATGGCCGGGGATAGCTCAGCGCTGGCCCGGCGCGCGCCTCTGACGGAGGAAATCGGTTCAGCGGACGGTGGTAAGCCGCCGCCGCCGACCGGTCGACAGACAGGGTGGTCAGCGCCGCTGAGGTACTGGGCAGGTACTGCCCGGCCGCTGAGGCACAGGATAGGTCAGGGTACAGGACAGGTCAGCTCCGACTGCGACCTCAGAGGAGCAGGGCAGGTCAGCTCCGGCGGCTGAGATACAGGTCAGCCCCAGCCCGGCCGCTGAGGCACAGGACACCGGCTACAGCCCCTGTTCTCAGCCTCTCCGTCCTCCGCGACTCGCAACATCTCTCTTTCCGTGTGTGGAGGACTGAGTGAACAGCACCCTTGACCGTGTGGACGGCTGAGTTGTCTGCCTTATTGGCTTGGCGTCGCACGTAGACGGTACATTATTAGTTATTACACAGCTCGGTGCTGGTCGCCCGGTGCTGGTGCAGGAACACTCGCGAAATTAAATATTTCAGTGGTAGTGCCTTGCACGAAATACGTGTAACGAGTGTCTGTTTTATGGAACGAACCTTCCAGTGGTGTTGACTTAGATTCCTGACCGTACCAGCTTTCGGGACTGAAAACATTCCCAGCTGGGCTCAAATATAGCCTCAGTCGAAGTTTGCACGCTGTAGTGCGTCGAATTTGGTGTTGTATGTCGTCTGCAGCGTCCCGTATGTCCTGTGCACTGTGCAGCTCGTCATCGCCAGATCCGCTGGTTCACACACCGCCGGAAAGGCTGGTTCACGCCCTCACACCGCCGGAAAGGCTGGTCCTGGCTCCGGTTCACGCCCTTTACCCTGCCACGCCGGGAAGGCTGGCCCTGGCCCACACGCCCGCGCCGCGTCCCTCGCGGCTGGCCGGCCGCCAGCCCGATGAAGGCAATCTCTCCGGTCGCCGGGGCGATGTGGTGCTATAGCCTCGTTCATCCTCCATATAAGCCAGCAGCTGTTTGAAATATACATGGCGCGCGGGCGGCCGGCGCGGCGGCTGGCGGCCGGCCAGCGGCGCCGGTCGCCGGTGGTGCCGCCGTCCGCGTGCCATGTGCGCCGGCGATCGATCATCTCGCCGCTCGGTATGATTCCACCGGGCCCGGCGGCCAATATTGCTGCCGACCGGCCGGGACACGGGCGCGCGGCGATTGCCGGCCGGCCGGATATACCGGCACCGTCAACAGGCGGGCCGCCAGGACGCTCCGCCGGGCCGCCGGCGTCGGCAGTCGGGTCACGCGGCGCTTACAGGCGGCCGCTGACATATGAGATGGCCGGGCCGCCGCGGCAGGTCAGGTCAGACTGGAGCGGGCTGGTGACGGCGGTCCGGTCCAGCAGCACTCCAGCGGTGATAGGTTTCAGCCGCCACGGCCGCGGAATGCGGTTGACAGCTCCCTCGGGGCCGGTATTCAGTCTGTGTCTGTCTTCTTTCAGATCCTGCTATTGAAAGCTTCAGCTAAACGCTGTTATCTGAGCTGAGACGGTTGACTTTTCGTTAATCGACTTTGATAGAAATTGTTCTTCTCTCCAGCCATAGTTCTTATTTACGACCTCTCGAAGTTCACTGTACCATTCAACTGGAAATGAGGTCATCAACTCGGCAATTCCATTATCGAAAAATGTTCAGTGTTCGGCTCTTTAGATTGGCTAACTTCTATAAGTTTGAGATAAAGCTTTCTTTTGTTGCATATTACACAGTCGCTACTGCTAGTTAGTTCGCGTCAACTTCTAACAACATGATACAGTTTCAGTGCCAGTTGAACCCTGTTTTCTTGATTGTAGTATCGAAGTTCCATAGCAATTGCTTCATAGTATCTGAAGAGAAACATTTCAAACATAAGTATGTGAACTTCAAACATAAGTAGGTATCTGAACAGTTTGTGTGAACTGCTGCTCTGTGACCAGCGATTTAGCAGGGAACCTCACAGAGTCGTTGGACGGATGCCAGCAGTCTCTCTGTCCCTCTTCCGATCCCTACCGCCGTCCATGGTGCCGACCAAGCCCCGCGTCCCCCGAACTCCCTCCGTTGGCCGTCCTTCGACGGCTGAATGTGCGACCGCCGGCGATAGTGCCGTCATCGGCAGCCGGCCGCCCCCGCCGCCGCCCCCGCCGCCGCCCCCGCCGCCGCCACGGCCGATATTACTTTGATCGTGGGCTGGTGGCGTCCGCTGCCAGAGATTTACGGAGCGGAGCCACCCCGCGCGGCCAGCGTCCTAAACGGCATTGATTAGGGCCGCCGCTTCGGTCGGGGCTTAGCGAGGCTGAGCGGACCCACTGTTCCAGGGCAGAGCGACCGACAGACTGCTGTGGGGCTGAGCTAACCCGCAGACTGTTCAGAGCTGAGCGGGCCACTGTTCGAAGGCAGAGCAACATAACGAGTAGGGGCTGAGCTGACCGGTAGACTGGTCAGGGGCAGAGCTGGCCCACTATTCGAGGGCGGAGCTGGTCCGTTGTTCCAGGGCAGAGCAATTGACAGACGAGGGGCTGTTGGTCGGTCGGTCGGGCCGGAGGCTGAGCTTTTCTACGTTGCCAGGAGAGAGCGACCGACATACTGTTCAGGGGCTGAGGTGGCCCAAGCTTCTAGATCTGAGCCACCCGTTTATTTCTGAGCGCCCCACTTTTCTGTGACCGACTACTAACCTTAATTTCGTGAGCACACTTCCTTGGCCTGTCTTACCTTTAGGATTCCTTTAGGATCCTTTTAACCCTTTAGCCTTAAATCCTTTAGGATCATGCGTCTCGGTTGTAACTCTCTTTCTTTGTTTGCCTCTTTGTTTGTATTTTGACACTGGGGTACCATGTGTGACCGTGTGGACCCTAGAATGCTGGAGAGATGAAACACATCACTGTTTTGGGCCATAGCATTCATGTGTTCCAGTTGTGACTGCAGTTGTGCCGCTTGACTTGTGTCGCTGTTGGTACCGTGCTGACCCGTGTGTCTCTGTGCCGGGCAGGTATCATGGCGGGCTCGAACCGGTCGGGCGACCTGGCCGACGCGCAGAAGTCGATTCCGATCGGCACCATCTGCGCCGTGCTGGTGACGAGCACCGTGTACCTGAGCGGCGTCATGTTCTTCGCGGCGACCCTCTCGCCGCTGCTGCTGCTCGACAAGTGAGACGCGCCCGGCGGACGCGCGGCGGGGACACCCGGGGGGACGGGACGCGCGGGGACCGGCGGGGACACCCGGGGGACGCGCGGCGGGGACACCCGGGGGACGCGCGGCGGGGACACCCTGGGGACGCGCGGCGGGGACACCCGGGGGACGCGCGGCGGGGACACCCGGGGGGCGCGCGGCGGCGACACCCGGGGGACGCGCGCCGGGGACACCCGGGGGACGCGCGGCGGGGACACCCGGGGGACGCGCGGCGGGGACACCCGGCGGACGCGCGGCGGGGACACCCGGGGGACGCGCGGCGGGGACACCCGGCGGACGCGCGGCGGGGACACCCGGCGGACGCGCGGCGGGGACACCCGGGGGACGCGCGGCGGGGACACCCGGGGGACCGGTTGGGACACCCGGGGGACCGGCGGGGACACCCGGCGGACGCGCGGCGGGGACACCCGGGGGACGCGCGGCGGGGACACCCGGGGGACGCGCGGCGGGGACACCCGGCGGACGCGCGGCGGGGACACCCGGCGGACGCGCGGCGGGGACACCCGGGGGACGCGCGGCGGGGACACCCGGGGGGACGCGGGCCTGAGACACCCGGGGGACGCGCGCCGGGGACACCCGGCGGACCGGCGGGGACACCCGGGGGACGCGCGGCGGGGACAACCGGGGGGACGCGCGGCGGGGACACCCGGGGGACGCGCGGCGGGGACACCCGGGGGGACGCGCGGCGGGGACATCCGGGGGACGCGCGGCGGGGACACCCGGGGGACGCGCGGCGGGGACACCCGGGGAACCGGCGGGGACCCTTCACACCGGAACCGAACCGCGCCGCGGCGACAGGACGGCATTCGGACCTTTGCCAACAACTGTAGAATAGCGCGTATGATATCAGGTCAAGGGACACCCTGAAAAAACTAGTCAATTCTTTGATTGACCAGTCGACGTCCTCGAGATATCTGGTCTGACGCGGTGTTGCTATACTGTTAACTCCGCGCTGTTATATTATCTAAGTTGATGATTATTTATAGTTATTTTATTGGGCTGTCACTGGGTTGTTACGTCGTGCTGACAGTTTAAAAGAGTGTGCTGTCACCTGGCTGTCACAGTGAGCTGTTACGGTGAGCTATTGCGGTGAGGTGCGGTAATCTGAGTGATTGGCTGGACTGACGGACTGCCCCTGTGTGTTGTCTGCCGCGCTGCCCTGACCCTGTGATCTGACCCTCTGTACCCCCTCCTGCCGCCAGGTTCGGTGAGAGCGTCGGCAAGCAGATGGTGGTGTCCCAGGTGGCCTGGCCGCACCCGATGGTAGTCACCATCGGCTCGCTGCTCTCCACGGTCGGCGCCGGCCTGCAGTCGCTGACGGGCGCGCCGCGGCTCCTGCAGGCCATCGCCCAGGACAACATCCTGCCCATCCTCGACCCGCTCGGCAAGAGCTCCAAACGCGGCGAGCCCGTGCGCGCCCTGCTCGTCACCGTCTGTGAGTACTGCGCCGATAGGCTCTTCTTTTTCTTATCTGGACATGAGGCACTATCCAACTAACGTCCCACTGATAGTTAACCAGAGAAACCATACTCTTCCATTAGTAGTAGGCAACGATCCGCCTCTCATTGTGAACAGTGTACTCATACTGTGCGAGGGCTGGTACTCGCTGGGAGAACTAGCTGTTGCTGGGGCGCCTCACTGGGTTTGTCGTACTCTGCTACTCCCTTTGAGTACTGCGTTCTATTATTCGCTGTCTGGGCGTTTCCTCATAGCCCCGTTATGGCAAGGAACGCCCTAGTTATTTCGTTATTCCTTGGTTCTGGAGGTCGATTCTCGCCTGTTTATTCTAGAGTCGTCGCCGTCGCCACCGATTGTGATTGGGCCGGTGGCCGGTCGCCGTGTATGTGCACTGTGCGGCCACTCATTGACGCACTGTGGAGCCACGCCGCCGCAGTGTGTCCATTGTTTGGCCGTCCGGCCGGCCGGCTGTGTACCCAGTAGGGCCGCCGGCCGTTCAGCAGAGGCCGGGTCTGTGTACTCGGGGCCGGCCACAGTCCGGTCACTGGGATATCGGGAACCGCCGGCCAGCCGCGGCCGCTGCTGGAACCGGCACCAGGGAGCGGCGCCGGGTACCCTACTCACTGTGTGGGAATGGGCATTAGGCTGTGTTCGATAATGCGCCCGTCAGTACTGGATCGTGTGTGCTTCCCCCATGTTATTTTCTGTCTTCAAATAATTCCAGTACTGCACTGGAGTAGTGTACCGTTCGAGTGTCGGTTTGTGTCTCCTTGCATACATGCCGTGTCTGTAAGTGTGCATCCTTGGTCTCTACATTACTTATGGTATTTTGAGCCTCCCATGTTTCTGTGTTTCATCCCATGAATATATGTACCATTTCCCCTGTCTCCCCAACACATCCCGTGTGTCTCAAACCCTCCAGTCCAGCCCGTGTCTCCCCAGTCCAGCCCGTGTCTCCCCAGCACATCCCGTGCCTCTGCCGTCCCTCCCGCCGCCGCGGCAGTGCCCTCTCCCCGTTCCGGGCGTGATTGCCGCCGCCGCCGCGGCAGTGCTCGGATAATTGGCGCCGCCCCGATGCTGGGGTGATCAGGCGACTAATTTGCCACTAATGATGCTCGGCTAATCGACCTCTGCGCGGTCACTTCCGCGGCGTCTGCCCGGCACTGTATACGGGGCCGGAGCGGCGGCGGCGGCGGCGGCGGCGGCAGCGGGCGCTCCGACCGGCCACTTGCCGCTGATGCGATTAGCGTTGTTTGCCGTGTGCCAGAGTGGATGGAGTAGATGTGTATGGTCGGGGGATTATGGGAGGAATACCGGAGTAACTAATGGCAGTCGATAAAAAGCCCTGTGTGGGAACGGCTGAGCCGCTTTGGACCGGCTCTGGTTGTGGAATGGCTTTCCGCTGTTCGCCGACGAGTTTAAAATTACTCTGAAAAGTCGTCGGTCGTAAACTTTAAAAGCAGCATCGAGCCGGCTGGGATCGGCCATCCATCAGTATAATTCAATGGCCGGTGCAGGTTCGAATGGCCGGGACATTTGTAAGGCGCCCCGTGATCGTGTCTGTCGGCCGCCGGGCGGTTTTACCGGCCATCGGTCCCGGTCTGGGCGGCTCTGAGGGGGCCATCAGGGGCACCGGGAGGGGTTCTGGGGGTCCGCCAGTAACACCGGGAGGGGCTCTGAGGGGCCCATCAGGGGCACCGGGAGGGGTTCTGGGGTCCGCCAGTGACACCGGGAGGGGCTCTGAGGGTCCATCAGTCTCGCCGGGAGGAGCGGGGCCCCGGCTCTGTCCGGGACTGGTAACTAGGCTGGCTCAGCTCAGCCCTGCTGGCGGTGAGCTGTAACTCACTAAATACATCATCACTGTATGAACTCTGTTCCAGTGCCGACCCCAAACTCAATATGTGCAGAGGATCAGCTCTGTAGAGCTAGCTGTATGGCAACTCTGCGAAGTTGAACCAACTCACGAATCAGGCTGCTTGCGAATCCGGAATGCTCCGTAGATCGTGTTACCCAATCTGTGTTATGTGTTCGCCAGGACTGTACCGTCTCGCTCACCACCCAGACTGTCCGTGCCTCCGTGTCAGATTATGCCGGAGTCCTCCCGCCCCGCTGACTCTGTCCCCTCTGCCCCGGCAGTCATCTCCGAGGTGGGCATCCTGATCGGCAACCTGGACGAGATCACGCCCATCATCACCATGTTCTTCCTCATGTGCTACGGCTTCGTGAACCTGGCCTGCGCGCTGCAGACGCTGCTGCGCACGCCCAACTGGCGGCCGCGCTTCAAGTACTACCACTGGTAGGTGACGAAATGGGAGGGTGGCTGTGAGGATTGCACGTGGAGCTCAGTGGGCCGGCGCTGTAAGGCTGAATACTGGCCTCCGTCGGCGGTGAAACCCAGTACTGGTCTCGATTGTGAGCCCATACTTGCTGGCGATAAACCGGTGTCATTGAATCTGTCATATCGGTAAAACTGCTGCGCTCTGCAGGGTCCTATTGAGTCGATCAGACGTACACTCTGGAAGTTTTCAATGCTACTGTGATTGACTGAAGACTGGGGAGACTAGGTGGACATTTTCTGAAATTTGTTAAGGCTGGCTATTTAAAGAGCATCTTTTGTCCCCAAAGCTTGGTTTGTGAGGGCCGGTCGGCTGTCTTAGGGATCTGTTGCTTTCCACAGGGGAGTGTGTGGGTCACCGGGGCCGGTGGGTGTCTCGGGGTCTGTTCCTGTCCCCCAGGGAAGTCTGCTAGGTCACACTGTCTTCGAGCAGATAGCTGGGGCGGCGCTGCGTTTCGGAGCGGCCGGCGCTGAATGTTTTACGGGCCCCCCGGGGACGGAACCCATCCCGGCACGGGCGGACGGCCATACGATATTGATGGCGCCCCACTGCCGACGGACGTGTCCTGCAGAGCCGCGGAGAGAGAGAGAGAGGGGGGCCGAGAGAGCCGCACAAAAAGAGGACAGTTTCAGCAGTTTCAGCCGCCAAATAAAAGGACCTTGTCGATCCACGGAATCGTTAGGGATGAGAGCGGCGGCGGCTGACGGTCTATTCCGGATGATTGGGCCGAGTTCCCTATTCATCAGAGACGACTCGGCCCGCTCTCCTCGTTTGTATCGAGTCACTGCGAGACTGGGACGGAAGCCCGAGTCGTTGGAAGGCAGAAAAGGCACTGCTGTGTCGAGAGTAGCCGTCAATAGCGCCGTAACATATAACATTATCGGCAAAAAGTCACCAGTCTGCGTTATGCTGAGGTCGATATTCAGGCCAGCATCAGTAATCACCTACAGATGTGCGTCGGACCGATAGTCATTTCCATGTAGTTACTGTCGAATTCCGGGGATATTTCTGGGCGGGATCACGATCGATGGCCGCTGGCTAATGCATACATTCATTCATATGGTAGCATCATTAGCACTGTGATTGTCGTGTGTATCTCGATGGTGCTGGCCAGGTCGGACCCCTGTTTGTCTGCATGTCAGTTTGTATGTTACTACCTATGTCGAACCTCTGACCGTCCCGCAGGGTGCTCTCGTTCCTGGGCCTGTCTCTGTGCATCACCGTCATGTTCATGACCAGCTGGTACTACGCGCTGGTGGCGATGGTGATCGCCCTGCTCATCTACAAGTACATCGAGTTCCGCGGGTGAGTGGCGCCGGCGACCCTCCCCGGTCCCGGCGGGCAGGGCGGGGCTGTCTGCTCCCGTCTGGTCCTGTCGGCGGGCAGGGTGGGGCCGGGGCTGTCTGCTCCCGTCTGTCCCTGTCGCACCCGCCGGCAGCGCCGTATGTCTGGGCTGACCGCAGACGCGCTACTGAGGACTGTCCGGGGCAGCTGGGGAGTCCGCGCTACTCGAAGAACGGCTGGGGGGCGAGGGCACAGAGTTCAGGTTTCACTGGTCTCCACTGGTCAGGAGACACGAGACTGCCATCTAGAGTATTCCAGTATCGGCCCTAGTCAATTACTATCAATCGAGTGTTCAGAGATGGACCGGCGGCGGATGACCCGGAATTACCCGAGGCGTGGTAAAGAGAGCCGGTCGAGCTGACCCAGAGCCGGCCGCGAGGCCTGCGGACACCGGTGACTGCAGCCGTCCCAAGTTGCGCCGGCCGCGGCCCAACTTTGGTGGATCGGAGTGCTTCCCGGCTGATTGGAGCACCGGTGGTGTCTGTCCTGTCACCCGGGACTCTGGGGTGAGCCGGCAGCGCCAGCAGGCAGCTCCCGCACCGCCGCGCCGTCCTGCCGAGCGGGGGAGGTCGCCGTCAGCGGCTCCCAGACTGAATGGGTGACCTTATCCGGCAGCCGCCTCTGTCCGGTTGCCAGGCGGCTGATCCGAGCGGATTGTACCGGCTTGAACTGTGCCATCTGCTCGTCCGGTACGGCGCCGGGTGCTATTATTATGCTGGTACTGGGTGTGTGTCAGCTCAGTATCTACAGAGATCCATGTCACCACTGGTGCCGTCTGGCTGGTGTCGCCGACCGCCGGATATTGTGTCTGGTCCGCCCACTGCAGTCAGTCTGACGGCGATCGGCCGTGAGCCCGCCGCTGGTTGATCACCCCACGCGGGCGGAGCCGCCGGGCGCAGCGGGGCGGGCGGCGGCGGCGACTGGGCTGCGGGGCGTGTCTAACAGTGGTCACTGGTCATGTATCTAGTGACCCCGTGCTGTAGCGGCCCTGTACCCGGTGACCCTGCGCCTCAGTCGGGTCCATCTGAGCTCCCCCCCCCCCCCCCCGGCCATCTGATGAAGAGCACAGTGCCGCCGCGGCCGTGGCCGGGCTAATTAATCGGCTTCGGTGGCCAGCAGCCGGCGCGGCAGTCGGGATCCGCCGGGATAAACAACACCCAATCTAACGGGAAATTACACAACACAGAGGCCAGCGCTCTACGAGAATGATATTTCCATTATGGCTACACGCTTACAGAGCTGTGTTGCAATGGGACGGACAGTGGCTGCCGCCCGCCCCACACACCTGCGTGCCCCGTGTGATCGCTCTGAGTGCCGTGTTTTGCTCTGAGTTCCGCGCGGTGCCGTGTTCGCTCTGAGTTCGGTGCGGTGCCGTATCTCGCTCTGAGTTCCGCGTGGTGCCGTATTTCGCTCTGATTCCGCGCGGTGCCGTGTTTCGCTCTGATTCCGCGCGGTGCCGTGTTTCGCTCTGAATTCCGCGCGGTGCCGTGTTTCGCTCTGAATTCCGCGCGGTGCCGTGTTTCAGCGCCGAGAAGGAGTGGGGTGACGGTATCCGCGGTCTGGCGCTCTCTGCGGCGCGCTTCTCCCTGCTGCGGCTTGAGGAGGGGCCGCCGCACACGAAAAACTGGCGGCCGCAGCTTTTGATCTTCGCCAAACTCGACTCGGAGCTGAATCTCAAGTACCCCAAGCTCATCACATTCGCCTCACAACTCAAGGCCGGCAAAGGTGAGTGCCGCCGCCGCCGGCGAAAAACACGGGCATGAATTGTGGAACAGTCTAATGCGTGTGTTGGCCGAATAATACTGAGGAACTTGGCTTTGTGATCCAGTTTCGAGATCACATTTACTTTGTTTGCCTTTGGTAGAGCTAGATATTGTCTGACATTTTAGCGAGATGTTTTTACTGTTCTGGACCGGAATTGTACGGGATCAGTCGATATGTGTCTGGCTGTCCTCCCCCGTGCTGTGTCTGTTTTACCGGTGTTGTGACCGGTGCTCCGGTGACCGATCTATGGAAGGCAGGGGTTAGGCCCTGTCTTTCTCTCGGCCCCGATCGATGGCGCGCCGGCCGCCGGTGACCGGCCGTCTGGTGCGTCCACCGCACACAGTCCTTCCGTCCCCACCCGGTGTGGCCCGTCTGATCACTTATCGGGCTTCCCCGTCCCACCAGGCCGGACGGACTGGGCGCCGCGGTGTGTCCAGAGTAGTCGCAATGTATCAGACCAACAAACTGTGATCACCAGGTCTTAGCTCTGAACGACCTCTCAATGCTCTGCTCAGTGACTGCAGATGCTCCGATCTCTGCCGAGTGACCACTGACCAGTGACCGCTAATGGTATGACCTGTAACTTCTGACGGGCGCAGGTCTGACGATGACCACTGACTGCTGTGGGTCTGATCGGGGACCGCTACAGTTCTGACCACTGACCTATACTCACGCCCCTCACCTCTGACGGCTGATACTCTAACATCTGACCGCTGACGTCCGCAGGTCTGACGATGATCACCACGGTGCTAGAGGGAGAGTTCAGCAAAACGTACGGCGAGGCGCAGGCAGCGCGACTCAGCATCAGGAAGGAGCTCGACAGGGAGAAGACCAAGGCCTTCATCGACGTCCTCGTCGGCAAGAGCGTCATCGAGGCCATCAACCACTTGTGAGTGACGTCGGCGGCTCGGTAGCTGGCTGAGCGGTTCGCTCGGTAGCTAACTATCTAACCGTCTTGCTCGGTAACTGACTGGGCGGCTGTTTCGCCATCTACCTCGGCGGCTAGCTCGGTAGCCGTCTTGACGTCTAAGGCTCATAGCTCGCCCGCTAACACGCTGGTAATCTCGCCTGCTAGCTCGTCGCCGCCGCCGGTTCGCTGGGTTCGCGGCAGTGCCGGCTGTGATGGGCTGCTTCTTCTTCTTCTTCTTTTGCACCTCACCCGCCGCCCCCCTAGGGGGGCGGCGGCGCAGGCGGGTCGACCGGAGGGTCGGTCCGCCCGACAGCCCGGATGAATTCAATCACCACCGGTGCCGGTCCGCCGAGGACGTCCCCCAGGCTCGGGTTGAGTCCCCAGCGGCGGCGCCGCGCAGCCTCGTAGGCCGGACAGTCGGTCAGCAGGTGGGCCGCGCTGTCCGGCTCGCCGCACGCAGGGCAAGCCGCGTCCACCGCCAGGCCTAGGCGGTGGGCGACATCCCGCGTGAGCGGCGACGCGCCCGTCCGCAGCTGGGAGAGGGTACACGCCTCCCAGCGGGACAGATCGTTATGGCCCGGTGTGGGCGCCGGGTGGGGGTGGGACGCTCTTGTTCTCGCGTCGACCATCGTCCCCACCCGGCGCCCGATCGCGCTTCTGGCGCTGGCGAAGTCGATTTGGACGTCCGGCTGCTCCGCAGCGGCCGCTTCACCGGCCAGCTGGTCGGCGTGCTCGTTTCCGTCCAGGCCAGCATGCCCCGGCACCCACTGGAAGGTGACGGTGGTGCCACGCTCGCTGAGGGTATGTAGGCACTCCCAGATGTCGGCGGCCAGGGCGGTCACCTGGCCGGCCGGTCCCCTCTGGAGCTGCTGTAGGCCGGACTTGGAATCGGTTAAAAGGCGGACTGCGCGGACGGACTCCCGGTCTTCTTCAGGTAGGGAGGTTATCACAGCCAGTGCTTCCCTGATGGCGGTAAGCTCGGCACGCAGGCTGCTGCACACTGCGCCGGCCGGGGCCCTGATACGTTCCTCACGGCCGAGGCAGTGGAGCTGGATCAGCGCGCCCGCGCCGCCACATGTCGTCCCCTCTCTCGCCGACCCGTCCGACCAGATGGTGACGTCTGCGGGCGGCAGGAGCTCTATGGCCCGGAGCGCCGCCTCTCTGCGCTTGTCGGGGGGGGGGGGTCTGTGCGACGCGTGGGCGCGGGCAGGTCCACCACAAAGTGGGCGGGGGTCCTCTCCACTGTCCAGGGCGGCCGGCACTGGTACAGCGCCAGTGGTTCAGTCGGCAGCTGCTTCAGCCCGGCTTCGTCGGCGATCCACCGGCCCACCCGCCTGAGACACGGCTTCTTGGTAAGCACCGCGTCCTCGTCTGGCGGCTTCGGTGGCGGCCTCCGCGCCGCCTCTGCCTGTATGCAGTCTCTCCGCCATGCCAGGTGGGCTCGGTACTCCAGCCGCGGCCGCACCTCCTTCTCCAGGAGGGTCCTGGCAGGATCGAGTGCGGGGAGTCTGGCGAGGCGCTGGCACTCCTGTCCGGCCAGCTGCTTCGCGCGCAGCGACAGTGGCGGGAGGTCGGCTTCGGCGAGCAGGGCGTCCGTGCGAGTCAGGCGGATGCAGCCGGTGATGAGGCGAGCACACTTGTTCTGTTCGGCCTCCAGTCGCTCCCTGACGGACGGCGCTGCATGTGTGCCAACTACGGCGGCGCCGTAGTCGAACAGCGCTCGCACGTAGCCGATGTAGGCCGTCCGGAGTGATGGGCTGCTCCTTCCGTAGATAACACCGCTCCCGTTATTGAAATACGACACCGCTTGTTTCCGCCACATTATACAGCAATATGCGGCCGGCGCTGAGAGAGTACTGTCGTGTGCTGATTCGTTCGCGGAAGGACGCCGGACGGGGTACGCCGCACCGATTCCAACAACTTGGTCCCGTGCACCTCGTGGGTGTACACGGGTCCGTATTTGTGCTTATATCCAGGCCTTGTGAACTCGGGCGAGGCAGGAACGTAGGGTTTCTTTGATTTCGAATGTTGTAACTCTGTCGTGTAAATGAACAGGTTTTGCAAACGCGGTGTTTAAATGATTGCTTACGTTCATGGCATAATATTTCAGCCCATTCCATGCATTATAGCTTCATAAGAATGTATCGTGTTCATTGTACGTGAACTACCAAATGCCGGTGTGTCTATGTGTCTGCTAGCCGACTTTTTGGTCATTTTGTCCTCCGGTCATTCTGCGTGTCCGCGTGTGTGGGCCTCTTTTTGTCTCTATCTGCCTGCCTGACTGGCTGTCTGGCTGTGTCTATCTGCGAGTCCGTGCGTGTGTGTGGGTGTCTGTCCGTCATCCGTCGGTTAACCGGTGTGACTGTGCGCACACTGTCCCCTGACCTGCCCCGCGGTGCGTCTGTCCCCAGTATGCAGACGGCCGGTATGGGTGGCCTGCGTCCCAACACGGTGGTGCTGGGCTGGCCGTACGGCTGGCGGCACCAGGCAGACGCCAAGGCGCACCGCGTCTTCCTCGAGTCCGTGCGAAACACCAGCGCCAACAAGATGGCGCTGCTCGTGCCCAAGGGCATCAACTTCTTCCCGACCAACAACGAAAAGGTGCCAGGGACGGGGCCACACACGCACACACAGAGATACAGATACACTACATGTGTGGGACTGAAGATCTGTACAGTCACCAGGGCCTTTACTGGTGGTCTCGATAAATGTCGAGGTATTTAGCAGTTGCACGCCCGAGAGCGGCCCGTTTGATCAGTACCGAACTTACAGCATGCCTTGTTTTCGTAGAAGTTTAAGTTCCAACTCCCTCTGGCCGACTAGTTTCAGGGATTTCACTCAGTTCGCGCTGCTGTGTATCGAGAGCTGGCACGTACCGGAAACTTTGAGCCTAATTGTGAGTGCATAAAAGGCTGTGTCGGTCGGTGCCTGGGCGCCCGGGGCGGGCCGGCTGTCTGTGATTCCGGTGCTGATCTGAACCCCCCCCCCCCCCAGTCCCCACTCCTGTGCGCTAGTAAGCGGTGGCGCGCCAGTGGTCTTGGGACCAGAAGACACGCCTCGGGTGACGGTAACGTTTGTCCGTCCCTTCCCCTGACCATAACATTGTTACCGTGCTCGTCCCAGCTTTCTGACCGTTCCGTGGTTACCCCACCCTTCCTGTCCCTTCCTCCCCACCCTTCCTGTCTCGACTGTCTTGCTGACCGCACCCTCCTGCGTCAGGTGGTGGGCAACATCGACATCTGGTGGATCGTGCACGACGGCGGCCTGCTGATGCTGCTGCCCTTCCTGCTGAAGCAGTCGCGCACCTGGAAGGGCTGCAAGATGCGCATCTTCACCGTGGCACAGATGGAGGACAACAGCATCCAGATCAAGAAGGACCTCAAGACGTTCCTCTACCACCTGCGTATAGAGGCAGAGGTGGACGTCGTCGAAATGGTGAGGCGGGATGGACGGAGGATTGGGTGGGGGATGTTTGACTGGGAACTGGGAGGGGGGGTCTGGAGAAGGCAGGATAGTAGGCGGGGAAGGGATATCTCCTGGGATAGTGACTACTGACTACTGACCAGGGCGAGAATGGTCTGTCGGCTGGAAACGGCAGACTTTTGCAATGTTTTCATGAGAAAGCTTTGTGTATGTGTTCGTCTATGCCTAGCGAAATCAAGACACTTGGGGCAGTGCTGAAATATAGTGAAGCTTTACGACATACTTGCTGGCAGTAACTTCCTTCTCTAATCGACCTCTTCTTATTGTGTCGGTCTCACGAGCTTTGAATGGCGTCCGTCTCTGTCGTCTCAGCTGTCTGTGTGTTGTGATATCAGCTGTCGTGATGTGGTCTGTCATGGGCCTGTGGGATTGATGTACGCTGTTTTGGGCTACCTGGCTGGCTGTGTGGTGTGCATACCGCTGATATATTGCCGGAGTTACCAGGCAGGTAGGCGGTGTGTTCCTCTGGCTGCCCCCGGCGGACTGCCCGTGTTATGACGGTGCGCTGCGGCCCCCACCGCCACGTCTCCGCCGCCTGAGCCGGGCTCTGCTGATTCCCTTACCGTGCCTGAGCCGCCGGCTGGTCCTGACGAACCGATCAACTACCTTTTGTAGTTCACCGGCACCAATCTCGGCGTAAATAACGCGAGCTTTAAAACCTCGGCGTCTGATCCGAACTTCTATCGGCGCCATAGAGCTTCATGTAATTAGAATCTTGCTATGATGTATAAGACGGCTAGGCGCCGCGCTGCCGGCCCCGCGGCACCAGTTTGGTACCTCCTTGAAGGGCCCGGCGTGGAAAGGTGGGGCTGCTAGACACACGGTGTCTATGAAACATGCTCTCTCAGGTCATGGTTCTCACGTACAGGGATTCACGTACAGGGCCATTGGTTCAATGTGTGCGATGTGATGTCTGGACGTGACTTGGGATTGAGATGCGACTTTCGTCTAGTGTGTCAGAGCGTGTGTTATCACAGTGGTATTATGTGAGCTGTGTCTTGTGACTAGGCTGTACCGTGTGAGTTTTGTCATGTTTATATTAGAACTGTGTCGTGTGACAATGTGAGTCGTGCCGTGTGTTTCTGTGAGTCGTGACTGTTGTGTCGTCGGTGCCGTGTGCCCGTGTATGTAAGCTGTACCGTGTGTTTCTGTGATGTGTGACGGCTGTGTCGGCGGTGGCGCGTGTCTGTGAGCTATGTCGTGTGTTTCCGCGAGGTGTGACGGTTGTGTCGTCGGTGCCGTGTGCCCGTGTCGGTGAGCTGCACTGTGTGCCTAGTGTGTCTGTGAGCTGCACCGTGTGTTTCTGTGATGTGTGACGGCTGTGTCGTCAGTGCCCAGGCGCGCCGCCACTCCGCCCGCTCTGCCCGCTTTCTCTGACCAGCCGCACCACCTCTCTGTCTCTGTCTCTCTCCCGGACGGCAGGGTGTAAGTACGAGCTCTCAGCTGCACGGCCGGGCGCCGGTCCTCCGAGGCTGCCCCGCTCCCCGCCACACTGGGACGCACCGCTCCGACGGCACCCCGCTACCGGGCAGCCTCCCCAGCTACCTGACAACTTCTCCCAACTACCCAACAGCTTCCCCTGCAGCCCGATACCCAACAACTTCCCCAGCTACCCAACGGCTTCCCCAGCCCGTCTCCTGACTACTTCCACCAGCCCTCTACCTGACTACTTCCTCTGTGTTGTCTGCTTACCCCGCTGAGCAAAAGCTACCTGACAGCTTCCCTTTTCCCTACTCCCTGGCTACCCTCCCCTCTCTTTCCCTGGCTTTCTCACCCCAGTCCGTTGTTGGAGTCCCTTCCCCCAGCCTAGCCGGCGTCCCATCACCATACTCGGGTGTAGTACACATTTTGCCTGCCTGTGCGCCGGTTTTATCCCCCGGCGCTGTCGTGCTGAGTGTGACTGATCGGAGCATGTGTTTGTGTGGCCGCCGCCGGCCGCCAGGGCGACTCAGGGGCACCGCGTGGGCCGCCTGCCTGAGCTCTGAGCCTCGCGGCCCGCTTGCCTGGCCCCTGACCCTCGCGAGCCGCCTGCCCTCCCCGACCAGTACTAGACGCCGCTGTCCGCCATAAGGCTGGTTTCTAACCTCAGTTGGGTCCCGCTCGAGGCCGTAGTGGGTTGTTGCTACGCCTGTGCCGCGGATGAGGGCCACAGGGTCCCCGTGGCCTCCCGTGGTCTGTTATCGGTCCTGGAAGCCCACATCTGCCCTGTTTTCGGCCACTGCATGCTCTGGCACCCGCGGCATCGGAAGGCGCCCACGCAGTTACTGCGTGGGCGCCTGCGTACGCAGTGACCGTAGCTGTGGCTGTGGTGACCCCTCTGGTACCACTGCTGGCATCAGTCTCAGCGCGGATTTTTTCGTTTAGGTTTCGGCGTGTGCGTTTTGTTATCATTATTTGGCACATGTGTGTATTATTACTTTGATTATTTTCGGTGCTCGATAATTCTTACACGTGTGTAAGGCATGGATTGTTTTCCCCGGCGAACTCGCTGGACTTTCGTTAAACCAGTCCCCGGTTTGCTGTGGTTCACTAACAGTTGATTTGACACGGACAGCTGAACAGCTGTGCTATTAATGATGCCATATGATGAACATATATTAGCGATATTGTGTCATCAGGAGATTTCGCTCGTGTGAAAAAAATGAAAAAAACTACTGAACTTTCGGATAATGTTATAAATACCAATGATTTAGCGTTCAGAGATGGCTTTGTTTTCGAAACATGTCGTCGCGGAGCTGAACCCTGTCGCTCGCGGTGTGCGTCAGACCTGACCTCGCCGCTGACTGGGTACCCCAGGACGTTTGGCGCCGCCCTCTAACCGCTGACCGCTGACCTCTGATCGCTGACCGCTGACCGCTGACCGCTGACCCGTGCGTGTCATTGCAGCATGACAGCGACATCTCGGCCTACACCTACGAGAGGACGCTGATGATGGAGCAGCGAAATCAGATGCTGCAGGAGATGAGACTCAGCAGAAAGGAGCGCAACTCAGTGGTAAGTCTGCTCCGCGGACCGAGCCGAACGGCCCCAAACCTGACCGAGAGGACGGGGTGATTGTACAGCTGACGCTCTGACCTGAGCTGACCTGGGGTAGCCGGGCTGACCGGATGACCGGTAGCCTAGCTGACCGGGCCGCGGGTACTGACTGGGTCTCAGCTGTAGCCGCCGGTGGTGGCTGGTGGCGGGCGGGGGTGTACCATGACTGTCTGTCTGCCTGTTCCACTGACTGACTGCTGCTGCACTGCTCGGGCCGGTATGTATAGTCGGGTGCTCAGGGCTGGGCGGGGTGCTCCCGCCGGGTGATGGTGGTGCTGGTTCCCGTCCCGGCCCGCTGACCGCCCGCGCCCGCTGTGGTCGGTGCTGGGGGAGGGAGACAGGCCGGGTGGTGGTGGTGGTGGTGGTGGTGGTGGTGGCTGGTCCCCGTTCCCGTCCCGTCCCGCTGACCGCCCGGCCCGCTGTGGTCGGTGCTGGGGGAGGAACTCTGGTGGTGGTGGCTGGTCCCGGTCCCGGCCCTGCCGACCGCCCGGCCCGCTGTGGTCGGTGCTGGGGGAGGAACTCTGGTGGTGGTGGCTGCCGTCCCCGTCCCGGCCCGCTGACCGCCCGCGCCTGTTCGCAGCGGCGGGGCCCCGTTACCGCGGGCCGGCCGGCGCCGTGGTGGCACACAGTGAGCGCCGTGTCCCCGCAGAGCTGTCCGTCTGTGTGTGTGTGTGTGTGGGCGTGGTATCGAGTGCTGACCAGTCCGAGCCCGTAGCCGTGGCCCGTTTTCAGTACCGTTAGGCGGCAGCTGTGTCCTGAGGTACGGAGTTGCCGGCAGCTGCCCAGTGCGGTGACGTCCTCCCTCCCTCCCTCCCTCCCTCCCTCCCCGCGGGGCTGAGTAGAGGCTAGCGCACAGTTTGAGTAGGGGCAGTGGCCCGCCGTCCGTCCGCCCTGTGCCCTGTGCCCGCCGCCGGCCGCTGACCCGTGCCCGCCGGCCGCTGACCCGTGCCCGCTGGCGGCTGTCGTAAGGTGGACGCACTGATGGGCGTCGAGCTGGACATCATGCGCCGGCCGTCAATCAACACCGTTCAGGACGTAGGTGGCCGCCCGGCCCGCCCTGTAGAGACCGCCCGTTCGCGCCGGTCCGCCCTGTAGAGACCGCCCGCCAGCCGTGTACATAGTGCGGCCGCAGCCCGCCCGCCCTGTATCGCAGAGCGCTCTCACCCGCCCGCCCTGTATCGCAGAGTGCTCTGACCCGCCCGCCGCCCGCCTGTGCGGGACCTTGACTAGCTGCTAGTGTTGTCCGCCCGTGCCCGCCGCTGGGCGGCAGTGAGGGGCGGGCTCCCGCCGTCCTCCCGTCCCACTGAGTGTGTGTGTGTGTCCGCGGCCGGGTTCTCTACTGGGTGTTTCTGTGTCTCCCGGTAGCGAGGGCTGCAGTTCGATGACCTGTCGGCGCTGGCGCAGGTAACGGTGCGCCCCGTGCGGTGCTGCTGTCTCGGCCGTGTTGCAGTGTTGTGCCGGCGCCGGCCGCAGGGACGGCTCTTGTCGCCCGCCCCCGCCCCCGCCCCCCCGCCCCGCCCGCCGCGCCTCTGACCGGGTCCAGATGGGCTGAGACCCGCGGCGCCGCCGGGCCGAGCGTGTTGCACCGCCGCACCGCCGCCGCTGCTAGCTGCCGGCTGCTCTGAGTGTGCCCCGCGGCGCCCCGTGCTGGTCCGTGCCGCTGCCACCGTCCTCCCGGCATACAGGACACCGGACAGGCCCTTCCCGAGACCTCGCCTTACTAACCCTGCCGAGCGTTGTCTTTTTGGCTGAGCCTCTGAAACTGCAGCACGTAACGTAGCTTGCCGCTTGACATCTAACTTATGTCACTGTCTCTAACGTCTCTAACAAATCTCTCTGACGTCTCTAACGTCTCACTAACATTTAACACTTGCCTAATACGCTTGGCACCATTGGCATCCAGCTCTAAATTAATTTTTATTTCTTATCTAACACGTTTATCTGTAAATTTCCCCCCCCCCGCAAGACTGCCTTCTTTTAACTGAGCTGATAAAAATAAGGATACCAGTGTGCCGATCGCACATAATAAATCGTAAGACCTCGAGTCTTCTCCGGGCGCCACAAAACTATTTGATCGGGCGATGTAAAGCTTCCTGGCCAAGTCAGAGGCGTTGTAAACCTCACTGTTGTAATCAGGGGCGCTGTAAGCCTCCTTGTAAATGCCATGAGCGCTGTAAAAACCCTGGCAGTCAGACGCCACGTGAACCTTCTTGGTGAAGTCAGGAGCCCGATAAATATCCCTGGTGAAGTTAGGAGGGTCCTAAGCCCCCCTGACCGTGTCGGGCTGTGGGTCGTGTGCCGAGGACCGCCGGCCGAGCTGCCGTGTGTGCCGTGCCGCCGCGCCCGCCAGGCTCCCGCCGCCGCTGCTGCCGCCTCTGCCAGTGTGTGCCTGTGTGGGCTGTGGCTTGGGCTGCTTCACCCAGCGGCCGCTGCACGCGCTGTGTACCGCTCGAAAACCGTCCCCCCGTCCCGTGTGTGTGCTTCGTGAATGGGACATGCTTACTGCTTGTGGTGTTAAGTGTCTGCTTAGCATCACATGTAGCATTGTCAGGCTGTGATAGCCCTGTACAGTTAACTAAAGCGGATGTTTCAAACGATAAGTGTGCACAATGATAACGTTATGAGCTTGAAATTAGATGCTTGGGTAATATCGTTGAAGCGTCCTCGGCCCTAAATGCGAGCAGTCCTAAATCAGAGGAGGGGACGTCCATGCAATGTAACTGCGGTGTTGCATCGGGACGCAATTTTCACTCTGATATGGTGCCTCATATCTGGCCAATGTCAGCTAATGCCCCGTACCTAGTCGGAATCAGGCGGTATTCACTACTCCCGAGGGGCCTGCTCTGTGGCACCCCGCCTCTGCAAAGTCAGACCTTTTCACGTCTCAGTCTCGGTCTCCTGATGTTTATCACTAATATTTTGATAAAAAAGTTGAACCATTTACATATTTACTTTAGATCTCTAATCGCATACCTAAGTAGCATTTCCAAGGAGTGACTCTTAACATTAAATTGCTGAAACCCGCATGAAGAAACTAAATCTTTTTTGGTCAGGGCCGCTATTGTAAATAAAAAATCGCATATGCATGACTATCGTCACTCGCATTTTGAGCACGCTGATCATGTCCAATGCGACTTTTCACACGTAGGTATACCTACCTGTATATCTGTTCAAGTAGGTACCAATATACAGGTAGCTGATCTTCCAGAAATTAAGCTGACATCTGGATCAAATATTAGTAGAATTGTATTGAATATTGATGTCAATGATTTATCGATTTCGGTAGATTTATGAACGTTGCTTATGGTCAGGTTTTTGCCTCACGATGCTCACCTATTGGTTTGATATTTGCAGGCTGTTGTGTCAGGTCAGTGTGTTTTCCCATACGCCGAGATATCCCTTTAGCATTATCCTAGCCGTGCGGGAAACATTTGCACGTGATCTTTCCTGCACTGTTTTCCGGCACGGGTTGATGACCTACAGTTCTGGTGATTTTTTGATAAAAATCTTAAAAAAGGTGATTTCAATAATTAAATTGTGAGTTTCTGAATAGATATTAAACGACGTATGGGAAATATCTTACTGAACTTGCTCTGGGAAGAAAAATGGAAACCTCGGTCTTCAAAAAATCTCCGGCACTCGGCTACGCCTCGTGCCTACAATTTTTTAAAGACCTCGGTTTCCATTTTTCTTTCCCAGAGCCGTTCAGTAATATATATTCATCACCGCCATTCGCCATCGCCCGTGCATTCATACCTCCAACTGTAGGTCCGTATTAAAGGGAGCGGTTCATTCTCGAATGGTCAGTAAAATGTAAAACCAAGCAGGTGCAGCTCCGCCAGGCACTGCCCTGCACTGGTGTCTGAATGAGCGGTGACTTTCTTTCTGAGTACCGTCGGTCTGGAGAGCTTACTCCTGGACCTGGTGCCGTAACGAAACGAGGGTAACTGCTTCCAGTCGCCAGCGGAACTTTGACACCATGCTCGCCATTTAAATTTAAATTGCGAACGACGAAATGAGCCGTTTTGAAAGGTTGTTATATCGATTGCGAAATTTTTTATTCGCTATGAAAAACGAACCGCTCCCTTTAATCGTTGAATATCGTCCGTGTCACTGGTTGTCACCCCTACATGCGTTCACGCTGGTCTCCGTGTCGCGTGGCTGGCTCCGCTTACTGCGCCGACTCGAGTAGCGGCGACACGCAGTGTGTGCGAGTGCCGTCCGCTTCACCGGCCGCCGCCCCCCAGGTCCAGGACATTGTCGACAAGAGCTTCAAGGGGGTCGACTCGCCGCCGGCGCGCAACTCCAAGGTGCACTTCCTGGAGCGCGTGCTGCCGGAGGAGGCGGCCGTCACGCCGGACATCTCGGTAAGAACGGGGCGCCCCGGCGGGTCTCAGCGACAGGCGCAGACAGGTGGTACAGGTAGGGCCGGCTGCCGACCGGAGCGTCTGACCGTGCCGGCGGCGGTCAGCGCTGACTGACCGAGCAGCGGTCAGCGCTGACGGATGCAGGTCACCAGCGCTGACTAGGGTGAGACGCCGACACTGACTGACCTGACTGCGGCCGGCGCTGACCGGCGCGGCCCTCGCCGTCTGTGTGTCCCCGACAGGCGAGTCTGCGGGCGGCGCTCAGCGCTGGCAGGAGCCGCACCGTGGAGCCCAGCGGGCCGGTGGCGGCCGCCCCGGTCCCCGCCCCCGCCCCGGCCGAGGCGCCGGCGCCAGCTCCGGCTCCGGCTCCGGCTGCGGCCGACACTGGCAGTCAGCCGGACGCCGGACGTGGATCTCTGGAGGCACGGCGCTCTCTCTGTGTCTCTCTGTCTGTCTCTGTCACTGGGGCTGCGGCTGCGGCTTCTCACTCTCTCACATCCACAGACACGCTGTCCGCGGCCGACCATCACCAGTGTCCACTGGCTGTCCACCCGCTGTCCGCGACCACCAGTATCCACTGGCTGTCCGCGGCCGACCATCACCAGTGTCCACACTCTCTGTCCACCTGCTGTCCGCGGCCGTCCACTTGCTGTCCACCCGCTGTCCACGGCCGAACATCACCAGTGTCCATTCGCTGCCCACCCAGTGTCCACCCACTGTCCGCGGCCGAACATCACCAGTGTCCACTGGCTGTCCGCGGTCTACACCACCCAGTGTCCACTCGCTGTCCGCCCAGTGTCCACTCGCTGTCCGCGGTCTACATCACCATTGTCCACTGGCTGTCCGCCCGTCGTCCACTCGCGCCCTCCGCACGGCTCTACAGTCTACACGCGCCGCTTTGGTCGCTTCTGCGCGGCTTCTGAGCTGGCCGCGCCGCGCCGGGGCCCGGGTATCACAGCGACGTGGCACTGTTCTTCCTGGTGTTACAGTCGTGTTCGTAATGCAACTGTGGCGCCCTCATCTGTCCAGAAACCTGTGCGGTGGTTATCTCAGCGGTTTTGGTTAAACCTTGGACCTGGCGTCTTTTTGGCTCAAGGTGTTGATTCTCTCCAGCCTTGTGACGTGTGTGAGCCTGATCAAATTGTCCAACAGACTGACATTGTTCAAACTGTCCAACAAAGTTTCCCTGTGCTGGCTTGTTCCGACCACGCGCTGTGTCGATCTGTTCCGATTGTGTGGGTCTCGTCTGCCCTGTTTGGGCCTGGCCTGCCCCGTATGGGTCTGTGAGGGCCTGGTCTGCCCCGTATGGGTCTAGTCTGCCCTGTGTGGGTCTGTGCGGATCTGGTCTGCCGCGGTGTGTCTCTGTATGGGCCCCGTCTGCCTCTGTATGGGTGTGTGAGGGTCTGGTCTGCCTCTGTACGGGTCTGGGTCTGGTCTGCCGCTGTGCCCGGCACGGTGCTCGGCGCGGCGCTGACGCCCGGGGGCACAGTTTCAGTCGTACTCGGCGGCACGCTACAACCACCACGGAGCGGCGTCGGCCGAGGGCGTTCACGTAAGGCGCGGCCCGCACTGTCTGCCGCGGCACCGGCACTGCCCCCGGGCCCGGGGTGGCCGGGGAGCACACAGCAGAGTCCGCCACTGCCGCCTGGCTGACTAGACACCGCGGTCGGCCGGCCGACCGGCACCTAGTGCACCGTTCGCTGCCTGCGCGTCACCCGCCTGCTGCCGCAATGTACATACACACACACGGGCAGCCGCTGAGCAGGCGCGCCGTATGTCGGTTGATGCTGCGCTCGTGACGTGTGATTTTGGACGGGTCGGTGTGGCACTGAGTGACGTGTGCCAGATCAACACAGTGCCATAGCTGGCTACAGTTGCATTGGTATATTCGGCACTGGTTGCATTTGTGTATGACACTGCCATTCATGAGTTTCAGTGTAGTGTCTGGACAGCCTGTTTCGTCGACTGGGCGATTGGCGTCGTGCTGTGTTATCGTCCCAATATCAAATAGTCCCGTCTAATGTTGCCTTTAAAAATGAAAGCAAAACTGTCAGATACACATACACTCACCTGATTTAATTTGAACGTAATGTTTGTGGTAATCAAGATTAGATCCTTGTCGCTGGCATCAAAAAGATCCGCTGGATATTGCCCACCTCAGTAGCGGGGTTTTCAGTTGTCTCCTGTCTCGGTATCTGTGTCCATCTGTGTCCGTCTCGCTGGTCCCGCCCGCTGACGGCCGCCCCGCCACAGGTGGACCTGGCCGACGGCACCGGCTCGCGGTCGCCCTCCCAGGAGCGGAAGGAGGAGCCGGCGGCACCGGTCGACGTCGAGCCCGCCGGCGACGCCGCGCCCGCCACCAAAGACGGCTTCAAAAAGCTGCTCGACATCAAACCGTGAGTGGGACGGCACGCGCCGCCTGTGCTGCCATGTTGTTATCGACGCCGGGTGTCCAGTTCTGAGGGTGTGACCTCGGCGCGTACTGCGCCGCTGAGTTGTATGTGCTACGATAAAATGTCTTTACAGCTTCTGCTAGATAACTTGGTATGTTTGCCTTGTTTGTTTATTGTGTGCATAACGTGTGCGCTGACTGATCGTCTGCGTGTCGCTGCCGTGTTCCAGTGATAAGGCCAACGTGCGCCGGATGCACACGGCCGTCAAGCTGAACGAGGTAATCGTCAGCAAATCACATGACGCCCAGCTGGTGATTGTCAACCTGCCCGGGCCGCCTAAACTGCAGAGCGCCAAAAACGACTCCAACTGTATCCTCTTTGGACGCCGGCAGAGGCTGTGCGGAGGGACAGGATGGGAGGGCACTCACACACGCAAGGTAGAGCACAGCTTTCAGGCGTGCAGATCGCCGCCTCTCATCACCTCCCATTGGGATACATGGTATATTTTCTGCTTCCGACTCGCATCTCAATGCGCTACGAGTTAGGAGCGGAAGATATGTCATGTTTTGCAATGGGAGGTGATGAGATGCGATTTGCGCAATTTAAACCTGTGTTCCAGGCTACAGACACACCGAGTCAGTGTTGTCCTCTCATCAGCTCCTGTTTGGCCGGACCCCTGTCCCCGTTCTCCAGAAGAGACGGGACTCACAATCATGCAATGTCATTCCCTTCTTTCATTATTCCTCTGCGTTCCGAGATGAAGGGGTGCTGTTTCTTGTTATCTAACGAATGGTGCCCATATTCATTGTTTTCGGTAGGTAAAATCGCTGTCAGCTGTGTGTATGTGCGGGATTGTTGCATATTTCAATAGTTTTGCCTAATGTTCCTGTTGCAATAATTTTTCTTTAAACGTTTCATTCTCTGACTTGTGTAGTATGTGATGAGTCCCATGCCGTGTTTTGTGTCCCGTGCCGTGTCTGTTACTCTACCATGTATGTTACACTTCGTATCCGCCTGGATGCTACGTCCCGTGCCGTGTATGTTTTCCCCGTACTGTGTACATATGTTACACATTGTGTCGTGTGTCTTATGTTCCGTGCCCTGTATGCTACCGGATGCACCGTGCATGCTACGTCCTGTGCCGTGTATGGTATTCCCCGTATTGTGTATGCTAGACCCTATGTCGTGTGTCTTATGCCCCGTGCCCTCGACGTCCAGTGCCGTGTCTGTGATTCCCCGTGTCGTGTCTGTCATTCCCCGTGTCGCCGACCGCAGCCGGGCGTTTGGTTTCCTTGACTCGGCGCCGGCAGATATGGAGTTCCTGGAGGTGCTGACCGAGGGCCTGGACCGGGTGCTGATGGTGCGCGGCGGCGGCCGCGAGGTGATCACCATCTACTCGTAGTGGCGCGGCGCCGTCCGACGAGCGCTCAGCGCGGGGACCAGACGGACCGCCGCCGCCGGCTGAGAGTATTTATTGTGGGCCGGCCGGTGGGCGGGTGCCGCTGCCGGCGGCCGGTGCTGTGATGGGCCGCCCGGACTGCCGGCCGCTGCAATAGGGCCGCGCCGCTCGCCGGGACGGCCGCTCACGTGTCAAATGGGCGCAGTGCCGGCGCCCGCGCCGTTGTTACATGACTGAAGACTCTATGGTGCGCCGGACGGTGGCGCGGTGGTGCCGCGTGCCACCGCCGCGCCGGCTGCGCCCAGCGCCAAGCGGGTGGGGCCGCCAGCGGCCGGACCGACACGAGGCAGCCCAGTGGGCAGCTCTTTTAGCGATCATTATTTATAGGTTGTCTGGCGTTGTTTGCGGCGTAGCTTTAATTGACACCATCTGTCACGTGGATTATGTCGCCCTGTCACAAACCGAGGTCACGTGGATTATGTCGCCCTGTCACGAGTGTGCACGACAACCATGCCGAGCTTTCCAGGCGGCCAGGGCAGCCGCCCCGCCCTGTGGGTCTCACGCTGTTCTTGTTTCGCATTTCCTTCGCATGGTTTATTAGATTCATTGTTAATTAATATTAATTGTTCCTATTTGTTTTTGGCAGCTTTTCGAATAAAGTAGTTGGTCTATGCCATTCTGTTTTGTTTATCGTTTTAGCGGCGCTCGCTGCGTTTGGTCGTGTGACCGTGTGCTTTTGCACGCCGCTGGTACACCTGTGTTGGGGATCGGGTCTGTTCGCCTGGGGGCGTCCCTGTTGGTCACCTGGCGACTCGCCCTCCGCTGACAGCTCGGAGGAAGGGGTGACAGCAGTCGACAGGCATCTCAAACTGGCCAGCGCACGAGCCACTTTTTCCATCGCTCAGTGTTGACCTTTAATTAGGGCACAGACAGCGGAATGCGTAGTTTTTTACATACTCTATTACTTTTTGTCCCTATGTCATGTTTCTTTGTGCATAGAAGATATTTTCGTGCATGGTTCAGTCATTCCTTTCAGATGGCTCATCTCGACCATATTGGTATTCGCAAGCATAGCCAATCCTGGTCAATGACGGTCGTGAGACTTTATGGATGATAGGAATTTCGCCGCTGATTGTCGATAAGATGCATATAAAATGCCGACCGTCTTTGCTCATCGAATATTGTTTAGTGGTCAATGTGTAGCCATCACTTAGTCATAATCAGATAAAATGAGTAACATAGTAAACTAGAATGTCTTAACTCTACAGATAAATGCGAGACGCGTCTCTGACAAATTTAATCATTGCTGCTTTGTTTTAGAAGGTTTTCATCGCATCAGCTGCTTGTAAGGAGTTCGCTAATGAATATGTTCATTTATTTATATATGTGAACGCTGAAGATGCTCATTTACGCATTGTACGGTGTAGAAGAACTATGAGTCACTAAGGGACGCAAATGATCCTGTGTCATGATTGATCTGTGTAGCTAAGGGGTGCAACGTATCACATGAAAGGATTCCAGCAGATCTTAGCCGCAACACTGCGAACGAAATTGGAGTCTTGACTAAATTCAACAAAACAAGGAAGTTTCTGGTGCATTGCAACAAGCTGTGGCTGTAGTGCATTTCTTTGAAGTTCCATGCGCTATGTTTTGTCACTGGCATTTTCTGTAGTAGCTGCATCCAGATCCCTCCCTGGTTTCGTGTCTGCTGGTCCATGGGTCGGTCTGCTGCTGCCGTCTTGTTGCACGCTGTAGCTCGGCGCCCTCGCTGCCCAGTGTCCGGTGCTCTGTAGGACCCGCCGCTCGCGGGGCCGGCAGCGCCGCCTCTGAGACGGTGCGGCGATCGGTAGTGGTGGCCGCCGGCCGGTCCCGTCTGCGATTGTCTCTGCGTGTCTGTGATCTTTGCTCAGCGGGCGGGTCCGGGACGGACGGCCGGCCGGCACGGCGTCCAACGCCGTGGCCCGTACAAAGCCCGCCACCCCTGCCGCCGGCCCGCCCGCCACCCCGCTAGCCACCTAGGCGTCCAGGAGCTTTCAGGGGCCGGTAGCGCTGGCGCTCTTGTTGACTGCGTGGATGGACTCTATTTTCTGTGCTGTGTAGCGTAGCGCGCGGTGGCGGCAGCGGGCAGCTGTCCGGTGTCCTCGTCGGTAGACCCCGTGTCCGGTGTGTCCGCGGTGGCAGTCTGTCCCGGGCGGTGTCCGCGGAGACAGTCTGTCCGCGGCCCTGTGTCGGCACAGTCCGTAGGCCGTGCTCCCGCCGTGTTTGGCGCTGCTGCGTGCCCGCCAGTATCTACTGTGTCGGGTGGTGATTTCCCGCGGACTATCTACTGTGTCGGATGGTGATGTCCCGGCTAGTATCTGCTGTATCTGGTGGTATCTGTAGGTAGCTCCCGGTGTGAACAGGGGTGCTCTGCCCCACGCCACCCCCTCCCAACTCTGCAATAACTGTCGGGCCGGCGGCGGACGGTCCGAACGGGTGCGCCGCGCCCCTGTAGGACCGACAGGCACCCTGTAACGCTACCACCCCGATGGCGATGTCATATGCAACTCGGTTACCGCGGCGGGGGCTGCCCAGAGTTTCACACGTGGTGCCCCGGCTGCCTGAGATGCTGGGGCGTCCTTATAGGGCACCTTACCACCAACCCTCCACGTCACCGGCGCTGGGGTACCGGCGGCTCCGACACGGGCCTCCCCACTGTGTGTGACCTGTCTGGGCGACAGGCGCCCCTCCCTCTCAACACACACCCCGCGGAGAGGTGGCACCTTCATCATAAGACCCTCGGACGGCGACAGCGACTTGGTGGCTCTGTACCCCGTGCAGGCCGCGAGTCGGAGCGACTGCTGTGCGCGTATGGGTGTAAAACGGGTGTGTCTGTGAGTGGTTGACCGGCTGCCGGCTCCCGTTCGTTCATGCTGGTGTCAAAAGTTCTACTTATCGTTCTTTGTTATAGAAACTTCACCTAGCACTGAACAGTTAACTCTATAGTTTCGGGGTGGGCAAATAAAATCGAACTGGCCCATCCGAAAGCGAAAACAAGCCACAAGTCGTGCACGTTTTTCGCATGTGAGTGAGCGTGTGTCATGACGTGCAAATGTGTGTGAAATGTGTGAATGTAGCCGCCTGGCATCATCTTCATCCGGTGCTGCTCAGTTGCCGCCAGTGGCCCCTCCCCTGTCCCTACTCAGCCCCACGCCCGGCGGTAGGGGCGTTAGAGCCGCCACCGGTCCCCATTCGGTGCTGTTCTAGGTGGGACAGATCTGTCCCCCCTCGGCACTGTCCCAGATCGGACGGAACTGTCCCTACTGGGCACAGTCCCAGGTCGGACGGAACTGCCCCTACTGGGCACAGTCCCAGGTCGGACGGAACTGCCCCTACTGGGCACAGTCCCACTCTGAGAGGACTGTCCCCACTGGTCAGCGCGGTCCCCACTCAGTCGGTGTTTTCGGAGCCGTTTTGGTGTCCGGTGGAAGTAGTATCGGCCGACAGCGGCCCTCTCGGTCGGACCTAGGACGGCCCAGTGCTCCGCCCGGGCCGAGCCTCCCCTACCAGAACGGACAGAGACCGAGCCGTACCGTACCGTGCGCGGTACCGTGCCGAACCGCGCGACCGTAGCCGACCGCGCCCACCGTGCTTAGCCGTTCTCTGTGTGTCGCAGTAGTCAAAGTGCCTTCCTTGTTTCCCCTATCGGTGTACTCAGTGTTTCTCTGAAAATAAAACATTTGTTTGAAGTCGGCTTGTGAGCGAATAGCGATGCAGAGACGAAAGTAGGTCCGATAGCGCTGGAAAGCTGAGCCAAGAACCGCTTGTCTCGCTGAACTGTAAAGGTTTCCTTTTGCATGTCAGGAATGATCCATAATACCACGAAAAGGACGGTGCGATGCACGACATTTCCACCCACATATTTGTGTACTATTATCGTCAGACTTGTGAAAAATCTCTGGTCGGGTCAGCGCGTCTCCCCGGCGACACTCGCTACCCGCAGTGCCGTCAGCTGGCGCGTGCGGCCGCCCTGCTGCCGGGGAATGCTGTGCTCGTCGGGAGGTTCCCGGAACGGCTGGTCAGCTGGGAACAATAAATCCGTATCGCCTATTATAGCAGATCAGGGTGGAGCTCGCATGGAGGGGAGCGATAGCGTTGGCCCCGCTATGCCCATAGCTGCACGGCGAACCCACCCTTAGCAGTCTGCCAAATCAAACCACACCTATTTTCTATTGAAACCCGCCTGCAATCGATAAACACCCGCTGTCCCTCATCACGTAACCACTTGTATTGACAGCAATACATTTTCGCAAAAACAATGCATTATAATCTGTTTCTCTCTGTCGCTCTCACTCGGGCTCTCTCCGTCTCTCTCTCACACGCACTCTCTCGGATATCCCGGTGAACAATGACGCTTGCATAGCAGGTCAGGCGGAGTGCACAGCCGTCTCGGCGCGGCGGTACGCGCGCGCTGGACGGAATCGGTCGGGGCGGCGCGCACTCGGCGGCCGCCGCGGACGGTCGGACGGGCTCGGCCGCCCGGTCACACGGTTAAACCCCAGCCACCCAGCCCGATACAGGAGCGAACAGAAGACACTACCGAGCCAACAGCCACGTTAAAAGAGTGCCGCACTAGCAAAGTCTGCGTTGATGAGATCGAGATGTACGCAAAGTCAACAACGCATTAAAAAAGAACAGCCGAGACTCGCTATGGAATGGGGGATAAAATATTACAACACAATTGATAATAACACAGTTCACCAATGATCACTCACTGCAGTAACAAGCTGCGGAGCCGGCGCCGGTCTCGGCGGCCCGCGGCGCAGTCTGCTCACTGGGTCCGTCCAGCCCGCCGCCGGGGCTCACCACTGCACCGCGCCGCCGCCGCCCGGCGGACACCGGCGGCACCTATAGTTCATCGCTCGGCCCCGAGATGTCGCTAGCAGTCGTACTCGTCCTCTTCCACCAGCTGCTGGGTGTCCTTGCCGGAGTCGTAGGTGGCCGGCTTGGTCTCCCGGGTGCGAGGTACGGGCGCCGCGGCAGCCGTCTCGACGCTGGACGGCGCCAGTACAGCCGGGTCCGACTTGATGTCGGACGGCACCTCGTACACGGCTGTCGGCGACGGGAGACGGGTCAGAGCGGGTCATACCCATTACCCAGGTCAGGGGACGTCAACGACGGGCCGCAGGTCAGAGCGGGGTCAGAGGGTGCTGGGGACGGTCGGCGGGCCAAACGGCGAGCAGGACTGGGTCTGGGACTGAACTGAACGGAGGACTGGACTGGACGGAGGACTGGGGACGGAGGGAGCCTGGGTCGGCCGACGGGTCACACTGGGGTCAGATGTCTGTCGACGGGTCACACTGGGGTCAGATGTCGGCCGGCAGGTCAGACGGAGGGTCTCTAGGGTCTCTGGGTCGGCCGATAGGTCAAACGGAGGGTCTCTAGGGTCTCTGGGCCGGTCGATAGGTCAGACACGTCACACTGACGAACACGGCTACAGTTCGTCTAGCGAGTGATAACCAGCCATCGGCCCTCATTGGCCGGACAGACATTGGCCGACTCTAGAGTATCTCCAGGCCACGGTATGTAACCCAGTGAGCCAGCCCCACCCAGCTGCCCTGTCAGACTGCCAGGTCTGCATGCTCCCCACTGAGACGGCGCCGTGTATAGCCGGGCGCGCTCGTCACTCACCGGCCG